GCCTCCACCATATGAGCCTCTCTTTTGGCAAATGGGCGCTCAGAGCAGTGGACTATGACTTATTTTCCGTTCCAGAATCCCTTCATGTATTGATGATACGAGGAGGGTACTATTCCAAATTTTTGCATCCAGTTTCAGCCCATAAGGAGGTGGTAGGAAGTGTTAAAGTCGATAACGTGGAATTTGGTCGAGCTTTTGAATTTTCTAACGACTAACTCGACCGTCACATGTCCTTCTATCATTCGGATGTCGCTGCCAAATCCATCGATTTCAGTCAGCTTTCTGATAAGCTTTTCGAGCGGCAGTCCGCTTCGCTGAAAGACTTCCAGGGGCATTATGTTAAGAGATGAGCTGTTATCCAGAAATGCCCATTTCAGTTCTACCCCGTTTAGCGAAGCCGTAACGTATAGTGGTCGATTGTGAAAGGTGGGCACGCACTTGTCTTCTTTAGTGGAAACTATGGCCATTCCGGGTGGCCTTTGGACCATTGGGGCTGGTGCAATCAACGCTGCCTCCTTAAGCCCCCCTCTTGCAGCAAGCCAAAGAGTCTTGGTGATTTCTTTTTGGGCGAGGGGGGAGAAATCCATCTTTTGAAAAATGTTTCTGACAGGTGTTGTTCCTAACAAGCGAAACGCACCCAAATCTTCTTCTTCGACCAGCGCGACCTGAGCAACGTCACCTGAGGTGAGCTCCCCGCTATTTACCCCCCAAGTCGCCATCATTACCGCTTCTCTGTCATGGACGGGGAAAGGTTCCTCCTTCACATCTTGCGGGGGCAGGATATACTGGCCACTAACGATCCGTCGCCGAAAGGTGTTCCGCAGGGCCCAGTAATCGAAAGTAGGATGGCGAGTGTGCCGGTGATACATACAGAATCAAGGGTTAGCCAAGTCTTTTGGGGTCAGCTCATGCGCTACCTTAGGCAGCTTGATGTCTCCATGCTGGATCCATTTTTTGGGAATGGCCTCAATTTCTTTCATCGTACTTGGAAAAGGATGTGGTATTTCTTCTAGGTTTCTCCTTCTGGACGGGCGGGCCGCTCCTGTATTCTTTTTGCTAGAGGATGCATTAGCAGCTGAGACTAGAGACCTGCGCTTGCCACGGTGATTGTCTTGTGCCAAGAACTGGGTGTTGACAGCAAGGTTTCCCACCAGGTTGCGTGATGCTTCAATTAGGTCTACAAAGGTAGGGAGCTTCAAGTTGATAAGGTGAATATGATAGGCCCCCTACATCCCTTGTATGCAGATCTTGGCCAGGGCTTCTTCTTTATGAGTTTCGTGACACTCTATGGCTCGGTCATGAAACCTGTGAACATATGTCAACAAAGCTTCTTCGTGACCCTGCACCTCCTTTGTTAACGACAACGTAGTTACTCTTTCCTCAGCTTGAAAAAACTTGGTATGAAACAACACTGCCAACTGATTCCATGTGTTAAGGGACCTTGGCTCCAAGTTCACGTACCATTTATAGGCTCTATCAGTGAGAGTCTTGGAGAATTCCCTGAGCCGCAGGAAGTGATCATTCCCAAAGGGTCCCAATGCTTCTATGAACCGTACTACGTGCTCCCGTGAATTACCTTTTCTACCGTCGAACTTGCTGAACTTTGGTGCAACGTACCCCTGGGGGTATGAGAAAAGTGCAACAGCTTGAGAATAAAACGGCTCGAGGCCCTCCTCTTGGGAAAACATGGACCTTTTGTTTCGCAACAACGATTGGAGGTCTGCCAAGGTTACATATGGTGAATGCTGGGCCAATTCCTGTGGGTATTGAGTGCCATCGAGGACCCTTCCCTACGAATAGTCTCCCTGTAACCAGACTCGGGCATTTCTGCTCTGGCTGGCAAGGCGAACGGGGTGTTGAATATTGCTCGGCGGGCCCCAATGGACGCATCCCTCGACCGTCTATGAGAGCTAACCGATCGTCTCCCCTCTGAGGATGACGGATGTGCCCGGTGCACTAGATGATTCGGGGTTATCTAACTTTCGTTAAGCTCGCAAACAAACTCGCTACGCTGCTCTGCCGTGCATCGGGGGATTCCATTGTTAGTGATGTCTCTGAGTAAAGCTATTACTTCACTCTGGGTGTCCTCTAATTTCTCCATCCAGTACGATAGCGAGTTATGGGCTTCGACCAAGGCCTCGAAAAAAAAAATCGTCCTTTTCGGGTAGTGCGGTCCCATTATACTTTTCTCCGAGGGAGACTCTCTCTTGAGGAGTCAGGCTGAATTCATGCACACTTGACATCGTGAAATACTCCTCCCCAACAGAGTCGCCACAATGTTGATAGTCGTTCTTTACAAAATGAGGATTGTATTCCACGTAAGCGGGGAATGCTGAGATCAGTATCCAAGTGGGGACCCAAGCAACACAAAGGATTCTCTGGAATCCAAAGATTAAGAAAGGGAAGGCAATGTATCGCGATACCAGGTAAATTCGAGCTCGATGGTAATTGGTTGTTTAGAACTTCTTAACTCTGCCTTTAAGGCTAATTAGCTTCTCCTATTTATAATACTTCCGAATGGTCAATACCCGCCAGTTATAAAGGTGAATTTCCTCTTATCTGAGGGGTCGAGAACCCCTTCTTCTAACAGATGAGACATTGTTCATCAGATGAAGGTATCTTCCCCTTCAGTCCGAAGGGGAAAAGCTCCTTTGCCCCCCAGTCCAAAGGGAAAATGGCACTTCCTCATTAATATGGGTTATGTCGGCTGTCTTTCATAATTAATAAGTCTTTTAGTCCTATCTAGAGCTCAACCCTTGGTATCGGTATCCTTTCCCCTTTGTGTTGGCCTTCGAGAGGCGAGCCCTTGAATCCCAGCCACCTGTCCACATTTTCTCAGACTCCCGAGTTTAAAGATGAAGAACAGGTCCCCTCAAGGTATTGCCTTCTTGACCTTGCGAGATCCCGTTCAAATTATGGCCTTCAAAACTCCCATGAGTTCAAAGTAGGAAAAGCTCGGGGTGAGCAGACCTTGGTCCTCGAATTTCTCTCAAATTCCAGGTCAGGAATTTGAGGTGGAAAGAATTCAGTCCTCGAGGTCCCCTCGAATTCAAGGTAAGGGGAGCTCAAGGTAAAAGAGGTAACATGCGCCCAAGGTCCTGTCTGTAGGAAGGAACCTCAAGTGGTGATAATATAATGAGGAGAGACCCATCCGACTGGAGAAAGGCACGTCCTTAAAGGAGTAAAGGGTAACGACCCCTTCCTCGCTAGTATTCCTAGCTATGGGACGAATAGCTCTGGGCCACTTATCTATTTCTCAATGACTTCTGGCCAGGTGTGTCTTTTGGGAGAGGTGATGCCACATAAGCAGGTGATGCGGCGCATTCATCAACATTGTCAAACCATTTTCTTTTCTCGATCTCTTTTTTATTATTATTATTAATTCCTAATTTTTGGTTTTTTACTAATATTTAAATAAAAACAAATCCATATCTTTCTTTACTCTCTATTATATTTCACAAATTAAGGTGTTATTTGATAAAATTAAAAATAATTACAAAAAATTTAAGATATGATTAAATTCTAAATGCTAATTGTACATGGAAAAAAAAAAGTTATACTTGTTTAAATTTTAAAGGTTTTTAGTGTCAAATGATAAATGAAGTCTTATATCATTTTAAAAAAATTCTGGATCACTTTATATATAGAAAAGCAATATACATTCTAAGAGCATCTTCAATCCAATGCTAAAACGTCTGTCATTTCTAAAATATAGCAAGGGAACTTCAAAAAAGGTTCTCTAATGCAATGTTAAAATGGCTGTCAATTTTTAACTTTGCCAAAAGTTTTGCCAATTGTAGCACAAGAAATAGCTACTGCTATTTCAGAGAGAGAGAGGCGGGGTTCAAATTTGGCGCGCACGCGCGCGCACACACACATACACACATATATCTATATATATATACATATATATTTTTAAAAGATCATAAAAAATTTCACCAATACTAGAGAGAAAGAGTGCAGAGATGATGTTGGAGAGAAATAAAGATTAATCTCGCCGGAATCCATGGACGCCACGGTTGCCAATGAGGATGTCTGTGAAGCAACAAATTGCTATAGAGAGAGGAGTATAGAGATGGCATTGGAGAGAAACATAAAAAATTTCGCCGGAATCAAAATCCATGGTCGTTAATCGTTTTTATATAGAGATTGTCTTTGTTCTGGCAAAGGCATTGAAAGATGATGCAAAGAGATGGAGAAAAGACGAAAAAAGTGGAGAGGATAAATTTGGAGTTGTCTGTTTGTGATAAGGTGATGAGTTGTCAACTTCTTATTGGTTATTGAGATTTCATTTGACACTCTCAGCAATAAAAGTCCATAAATCATTTTGTTTTATTATTATTTTTTTTTTTTTGTCCTTTTTTGACCAAATATTTTAAATATTTGTTTCTTTTTAATTAAATTTAATTTTAGTTTCCTTCTAATGTCTACAACTTAACTTGGAATGTGCCTAATATTAATATTACTGATGAAAATATGAATGGTGGGAATGGTAATTGAAAAATAATGATTGTTGTGTCAAAAAATAGCATTTTGTATAAAATGTATCATTGGAGCAGAATTGCTAAAATGTAGCATTTTGACACTCTAACCCTGTCAAAAAATAGATTTGGCATTCGAATTTAGCAATTCTGCATTAGAAATGCCCTAAGTTATTCTAAAGTATCCATGCATGTAATTAAATTATTATTTAATTAATTTAAAATTAAGTACTACGTCGAGTTATAGAACTAAATTCCAATTAATTAAAGAATTCATTAGAGTGTAGATCCAATTCTTTTCGGATGGTGACATGGCACGATATCATTAGTCATTGATAGAGAGAAGCCACGTTGGAGTAGACTCTGGCCCGTTGGGTGACACACACCTATTGAATATTGGCACGCGGAGTGACGCGCACTCGCTCTTTGGTCGCGTCGGTCTAACCTGTCCAATTTTGCCATCAAATTTTCTTAACTGATCATACATTTACAGTAGTCTGTACTCTTAAATTTCGGATGGAGAAATATATTGATATACTATATAATATATATACTTAGAGAGAGAAAGAAGAGTGGAAAAGTGAGGTAGAGAGAGAAGGAGAGCTGTACAGCACATGGCTTCGTTGCCGCTGGGACCTCAACATCCTCCAGATCATGACCCCTTGAAGCTCGCTCATCATCGCCCGGAGATGGAATCTGACAAGGTACTTTCCAGTAACTCTCCTTTATTCTCCGGCGAACTTCCGTTTTCCGGTGATCTCGTTGTCTTCTTCTCTGTTTCACCATTCCATGTTTTTGAGCTAGTTCGAGTTCAATCGACAATGATTCTTCCTCGATCTAGCTCGAGATCTTGAATTTTCATCTCAAATCTGTACTTCTCATGTTCTGTTTCTTCGACGGACATCAGAACAACGTCGTGCGGATATAGCTAGAAGATTTGGCCTCTATCGGAGAGATTTTTCTGACTATTTTAGGTCCTCTCTGTGTGAATTGAGCCGTCAGGTGTTTGCGAAAGTGGATTTGGAGTTCTGTGGTAGCTTCTATCAGCAAGAAGCGAGAGAGCATTTTGTTTGAACAAATTTTGCTTTGTTTAGTGTTTGGTAGTTCTTTTTCTCATCATGTTTGTCTGATTAGTTTAATATCTTAGCTTTGTAGCGTCTATTGTGAAGATTGTAATGTTCTTTTACGAATGATTTAGTGTTGCTTTTTTCATTACTTTCTTCTCCGTATGGTCTCGTGTTAGATCTTTGATCTTCTATGCAGTCTTCTTGGGATCCAGTGTTTGTTGTGTACGTTTCTGTAGGTTTTGGGGTTTCATGTTTCTAGGGGTTTACTTAAATGTGTTGAATTGTTGAAAACTTTTTTGTACGTTTCTTTCTTTCTTCTTTTCTTTTTTCTTTTTTTTTTTTTTTTTTTTTTCTGGTAGGTTGATTGTGCTTCAATCTGTTATTGTTTGCTTCATGCTGTTGGCAACATTTGATTCTCTCCCAATAGTCTCTTGTTTCAATTGCAAGCTTTCTAGCATGCGATGCTTTCTTGTAGCCTATGGTTATCATATATTGCTTTCCTTATGCTATCTCTCTAGATCCTTGCGCTGAGGCTTCTGTTAATCTATCATGCCCAAAAGCATTCCATAATTATTTGGGTAATATTTTCAATTGTAGTATGCTTGTTAAGTGTTAATACTAATTAGTACGATGATAAGATATTATTGTTTCTGCATCGTTGTCGCTGTCAATTTTGGGGTTGCTTTTGATGAAGGATGTGATTGCTATGAGCCTCCGTTATTATAGTTTGTGTTTGCATTAATCCTCCAGTTTGGATTACGTTGCAGGAAATGTCAGCTACTGTTATTGAGGGGAATGATCAAGTTACTGGTCACATCATTTCCACTACAATTGGGGGCAAAAATGGTGAACCCAAAAGGGTTAGGACTAAATTTTTAATCCTATATTTATATTGGCTATTCTTGTTGACCTTGTGATATGTTGCCCTTCCCTTACATTAGCAGAATGAGATTAGATATGTTACTCATATTCTTTCTTAAAGGTTTAAATAGTATTGACAATATATTTTCTTTGTATGGAAGATACATTCTCCCTCTCTTTAGTCCTATGGGGTGCACATTAGTTGTCTATTTGCTATTTTCTCATTTGAATATCTCTGGAAGTTGAATTGCGGAGCACTAAGGAGGTTTATGAGTGAATGTTTTATTTATTTATTATTATCTTACAATTTATTGACAATGATGTTCACAGACCATCAGTTACATGGCAGAACGTGTTGTTGGAACTGGATCATTTGGAATTGTGTTTCAGGTGCCGTACTCCTAGTTCTATAACTTCTGTAATCCCACTGTTGTTTTTTATATTCAATGATCTAATGCCACTCTCATCCAGGCAAAATGCTTGGAAACTGGGGAGACTGTAGCTATAAAGAAGGTCTTACAGGATAGGCGGTATAAAAATCGTGAGCTGCAGTTAATGCGCTTGATGGATCACCCAAATGTAGTTTCTCTGAAGCACTGTTTCTTTTCCACAACAATTAAAGATGAGCTTTTCCTTAATTTGGTCATGGAATATGTCCCCGAGACTATGTACCGGGTTCTGAAGCATTATAGCAATGCAAATCAGAGAATGCCGCTCATCTATGTGAAGCTCTATACGTATCAGGTTCTTTTCCTTCTGTTTTTATTTTTTTATTTTTATTTATTTTTATTGTGCTACAATTTTTATTTTTCCAACTCCGATAGAAATTAATTCCTGTCAGATATTTAGAGGGTTGGCTTATATTCATACTGTTCCTGGGGTTTGCCATAGGGATGTGAAGCCTCAAAATCTTTTGGTATGTTTTCTTTTTTCTTTTTTTCTTTTCTTTAATTTGAGTTGGATTGTGTATTTGAACCTAAATTTTGTTTAATCTGCAGGTTGATCCTCTCACCCACCAGGTTAAACTTTGTGACTTTGGAAGTGCAAAAGTTCTGGTATGTGCATTACCTTTTCAATTATGCTTTGCTTTTACTTTTACTTTGTCCATATGTGTAACTGAAAAGTAATGAAAAAACATTTATGTCACGAGGATCTTCAGAGTATTGAAATTATTTTGTGGCTTTGTGTTTTTAACCCACTTATGTTCCTTAGCATTTTATTGAACTGGAAACTAGAAACAATTTTACTGTCTAAGAAAATGGGAGATTTTGAATCCTATTATGAGTTATGCAACGCTTGCATGGATGTATCATTTAATTAAGGGTACTACTTATCAAAAAAAAATAAAATTAAGGGTACTACTTGTAAGCTTCAACGTATTTGAAATTCCATAGTGATTGGAGGTGGAATTAATATAACCAAAATATTATTGAGCCCAACCTGGTTCTAGGATATTACATACTGGTTACCTTGAGTCTCTAGATACCTAACTGTATGAGTACGTCCTTCCTAAATATTTCATATGCGTGCATTTCTCAAATGTAGGGTTGTCAATGAGCCAAGCTAAATCGGCTTCCTAGTGACTGATTGTGCATCTGTGAGCAATCTGAGCTTGAGCCTCAAAATTTAGCTACTGTACCTAAGCCAATCTAGTTGGTATTAGCTCAGTTTAAACTTCGGTCTTCTATTTTTATTACATAGAACCATTTTTCATTAAATTTGCAAATATATTTATGAAAATATTAACTTGTTTGTGCTATATTGTACCCTTGTATAAGAAAAACTAATTTCGTCTTATTAGATGGATGCTGAGTTATGGGTTTTTGGGTACATTTGGTCATGGACTTCGGGGTTCACAATACTACTTAGCTTTAAAAAAACCAGACTCTGGTAAGTTGAGTGATGTTGTACAGAGCTTTGCAGAACTATATAAAGCACAGATGGGGCCTAACCCTTCTTCTGACTTCAGCATCCTGAGCTTGAGCTTGCTCAAATACAACATTTCAAGGTCTAGATTGTTGAATGCATATAGTGTGTGCATTTCTGGTTAAATTTGTACATGGGTGTTTTAATATACCGTATGCATTTGCAAGATACTGAAGTAGGTTCATTTAAGATGCACATTGTGCCAATTTGTGTCTGAGAAATAGAAATGAATCTATCAGAAAATTAGAACTCATGACTTATCCAAGTTGGAAGCTCATGCATCTAAACACGTTCCTCTTTGTCATTCTTTCTATGACTTCAGTTATATTTTCTCTTAAAGCCAATTTTCCATGACACGTATGTTGAGATTTTCTCTTAAAGCTGATTTCTAAATGTAGATTAATGTCCATGTTAGTGGTAAAATAACATGCAATGTGTAGAGTTGTCAGTACTACTTATTGTGGAACATTATCCCTATGATATTTCATGACTTTTTGTTGCTTATATATATATATATATATATGTATGTATTTATCTTTTCCATTTCTTGAGAATTTTAAAAGAACTGAAAACTTTAATACTCTAGTACTTCATTTGTTGGATGTTTGAAAAACATTTTATCCCTTTCTAGGAAACATCGCTAGTATATAGTTGCCGTGAAATTAGTTCAAGATGGCAAATACGTATTCCCGGAAATTTGTTGCGGAAGTTTGGACAAACTTCAAAAAAATTATAGGGAACCACTAGACAATGTTCTGGAAAGATAAACTTGCAGTTGAACATTCCAAAACCGCTTAGAAAATTTATGAAGTACATGCTTCACACAGAACATATATTTCTATGCGCTTAAGCCTTTTCCTAATATAGATATATCACTTCCCATAAAAACTTTTAAAATTTTTATTCTGGTTTACATTATGATTTATCTTGCACCTTTATGAAGTTCATTATTGTCACTACTAAGTTTCATTATTGTCACTACTAAGTTTCTTTTTGCTGCCAAATTACATATCTTTTTCATTTCCCATGGTTTTTTGAACCACATTTTTCACTTCCATATCCATTGTCTTTTCCCACTTTCATTCCTATTATGGTTAGTATAGCAGTCATATAATTGATTTTGGTTCCTTGTCTCCTCTGGTTTTGTTTACTTTGTTCATATACTAACCTTTTAGATGCTAATTCACTTTGCAAGTCCAGACATCTATGTTTGGGTTTTTTCTCCTTTTTCTTTTGCTTTCATTGATAAGAAGAGTTGACCATCGATTTCTTCCAGTATCTCATGGCAATTACATGTATCCATTTCTAATCTCACCTGGCTCCTTTTCCGCCTTGGTGTACCTCTTATTTAATGTTAAGCTTCAATGTGACATCTTTCCATTCAATCAGGCCATAAAGCAATATATTATTGTAAGATGTCTGTAATTTTTTATTGGGAATCGGGAACTGCATATTGTTTTTAACAGTTCGCTAAAATATGTTTGTTTAGTCTTCCCCATCAATATTGTTATGCATTTTTATCCAACTTTTTTTCTTCTGGTCTATCATTTTTTTGTTGAATGTTTATAGTTTCATCAAGATTTTTTGTTATAATCAGGTAAAGGGCGAAGCAAACATATCATACATATGTTCTCGTTACTACCGGGCTCCAGAACTCATATTTGGTGCAACAGAATATACGACATCAATAGATATTTGGTCAGCTGGTTGCGTACTTGCTGAGCTTCTTCTAGGGCAGGTTTGTACACATTATTCCTCTCAATTTTTTTAATAGTATCTCGACTGCTTCTTCAAATATAGTTTGCTTACTCTATAATTACAAATTTTGTTATAGCCACTATTTCCTGGAGAAAATGCAGTGGACCAGCTTGTAGAGATTATCAAGGTGCTGGCTCTTATCTGTTTTGGTATGTCCAAGGATTACAACTCTAATAATTTTTTGATTGCGTGTACTGATTCTAGAACCTCTTTATAGGTTCTTGGTACTCCAACTCGAGAAGAAATTCGCTGTATGAATCCAAATTATACTGATTTTAGGTTTCCTCAGATTAAAGCGCACCCTTGGCACAAGGTATGCTGTTTTGATTTTCCTGTCTGATGTGACAGTTCCTTGGTGGTTTCCAAAAAGTGGCATAAGTTTGAACTTTGGAGATTGATCAATGAGTTATATGTTTTCAGGTTTTCCACAAGCGGATGCCTCCTGAAGCAATTGATCTTGCTTCACGGCTCCTTCAATACTCACCAAGCCTTCGCTGCACTGCAGTGAGTTTCATTTCTACCTTCTCTTCATCAAGATTTATAAATATTTGCCTTTAAATATAACCTATCATCACAAGTAACCATGTTCGACATTTTTTTTTTTTGATAAGTAACCATGTTCGACATTTTAAACACTAAAAAGGCTTGGATGCAAACCTACCTCTTGTAATTATCTCCTCTAACTGTGGCTCTGAGCTGTTGTAATTTCAAGTGCCTTACAATTATTCCAGACTAACTTAACGTAAAAATCTTTGGATACCTACCACTCTTGCAATTGCCTTGCTGATTTATTTATTTATTTATTTTGGCTGCAGCTAGAAGCATGTGCCCATTCTTTCTTTGATGAGCTCCGGGATCCCAATGCCCGCCTTCCGAATGGTCGCCCTTTGCCCCCTCTTTTCAACTTTAAGCCGGAAGTATGCCTCCTAACTACTTATTGATTTTCCAATTTGGAAAAGTGACTTCTTCATATCAATCTTATTATTATGGACACATTTTATAATTTAATGCATTGGCACTGTTGTGATTTCACCATGCCCATTTTTAAGTTGTAACCACAGCATATATGTAGGCAGTCTGCTCATATATTCTAAAATTTTGCTAAAATATTTGACTTCTTAAGCAAGATAAAGGATTTCAAACAACCTCGAGATAAGAGGGGTAGATATTATTTTAGCAATTTATTGTGGGAGATCTCATCATCTCCGATATTATTGTCCTGCTGTACAGATTTTAGCTGATGTCTCATTTCTTATAAATTTCATATATCAAGTAAGATATAGACATCTCGGAGTATAAATGGACATGCTCACTACGTGGCACCTTTTGATTTCTGACCCGAGTTTCTTCAATTCGATTGAAGTTGTTACTTAGCCTACCCTGTGCATGTCATAGCAATATAAATATATCGCAGTTTTTTTTTTTTTTTCTTCCCTGGAGTCTTCTTTGATTGGCACACTAACCAAAATCATTTTGGCTAGCAAATGGCTAAAATCTAATACGGGAAAACTATAGGTAATCTGACAGAAATTTGGGGGCTAAAGATGTACTTTATGTATTTATTTATTTTATTTTTTTAAGTAGGAGCTAAAGGTGCACTTGACTGTACTGTAATCCTACGTGAGGCCTTCTAGTATTGTAAGAATGATATTTTGTTACACCATATCTAATTGGGCTTTAATAGTTGTTTCCCTTAGTTGTCTCTAAGTAGTTGGGAGAAGATTTGAAAACATTACTATAATTGCTGACGTGATTGTTGATTCCTCATGTACTTCGCTTACCCATCTGGTGTTGCAGCTAGCTAGAGCGTCACCTGAGTTGATCAATAGGCTAATACCGGAACATGTCAGGCGGCAAGCTGGTCTCAGCTTTCCACATCCAGCCGGGACGTAAGCCAATTGTTGGAACTCAGAATCAACAACGTCAAGGGAGCTTGTGTGGTTTATATCACTTGGGCATAAATGGTTGGTCGCTGGGCAAAGATGTGTATGCTAATACTGGCTGTTCAGCTTGAGCTGGAATTTGATATTTCTGTTTACTATTGTCATAGCCAATGGAAAAACTTTTTCGCAGTTATGTACATTATTTTGATCTTAAAATTCGAGAAAGCTGAGTTAAAAATGGTAATGCATTCATTTCTAGCTAGGGAGATTCTCTGAAGGAACAGCAGCACTAAAGAGCTATTTGTATATTGGCTTCTTGTTTTTATCTACATAATGTTGTTTCTACTTAAGTTTGCGGTTTGGCTTTTGGTCCCGAATTGGAATTACAGTTGTTGTAGCGGGAGGGCAATTTTTTATTCCATCAAAATATCAGGGTAGTTTGAAATTTTGACCAAACATATTTTACTAAACTAAAGCATCGCTTGATCATGCCATAACATAAACCCAATTCTGCACACAACAAATGACAAATGACCCAGTCGAATTTTCATCACACCTGTATGGTGGAGTAAAAAAAACAAATCCCAACTCTATTACAAACCGTGTCTTATTCTAAGCACCTTCATAAGCTTTTGACTGAGTTTTTCCAAGCTACCGTTTTCAGCTTTTTGCTTCGTAACAATATTGCTGGGGAGTAAAAGAGCAATTCAACACCGATTGAATCTGTCACAAATATTTCTCCTAATGTCCATTTACACTGTTACTTAATAGTGTTAAAACAATAGAAAAATGCTGAGCATGCCATGCAAATTCATCATGAAAATATATCATTTTTTTTTTTTCTTAATTGGCACTCACACACAGTTGTATTAGAGGAGACTTGAACCCCCGACCTCCTCCTTTTGGGAAGTAAGAAACTGATATAAGTATCACTTTCTCCGAGTAGATGCTAAAGATTAGGTCTATATTCAATATATAACTCCAATCACCCTACATTGACAGAATATAACACCAAATAAAAAGAGAAGAAAAAGAAGTCGCGAATGCCTTTACTTTAACGTGCTCACAGTATGAAACATACACTACATCTTGTTGGAAAACTAGATAAGGATCAGCCAGATCCACATGGAGTCCTAACAAAACTGTAAGAAAACTCAAACCAAGGTCACCCTTCAACGGTTAATGTAGAGAAAAGGATGTAATCCAAAGTTAAAAACTCCAGCACAATATCTTATTCATATTTTCTTTGGGGAAAAACAAAACGGGAAAATGTTTCAAAAGCATAAATTTTGAAGGAATTGGAAGTGGAGGATAAAAATATCATGATATTTGAAAAACCTAATTATATTGTAATGGCCTCCCAATTAGTTATTTGGCTGATATAAGCGTTGCAGTTTGATTCCTTAAGCAGATTTTGTGACCTCATGGATAGCATTCGCCAAGTATCCAACATTGCCCGTAGTAACCCCAGCCATACTGTATCATATTGGTTGCAGATTAGCATAATGACCAAATCACATAGAGGAATAAGAAAGATCCAAGCATGTAAAGATATAATATGCAGTCAGACATTTTACCTGATACGACCATTGCGTGTCATGTATATATGGAATTCACTCGTCAAACGGTCAACTTGTTCAGGAGTCATCCCACTATAGCAAAACATGCCAATCTATTTGCAATACCAAGCATGATTGCAATTAGACACACAAGATAAAGATGGAGATAACAACAATAGAATAGTTATATAAGTAATTGGTATTTGACAAATTTTATTATACCTGCTTAGTTATATGCTCCCATGATAGAGGTGACCCTAACTTTTCAAGGTTTTCTTGTAAAGCAATTCGCATTCCAATGATGCGATCAGCCATGACCTATAGAGAGGAACATGTGAGACTTTCTAAGGTAATAAAAGTTCAGGTATAATAATAGAAGGCTTGAGCATAATGTGTGACATGAATAATGGTTTCAATTAAAAAAAGCTCTGTGGAACTCAGCCGCAAGTTATGTATACCTATACATCTACAACAAATCCAGAGATGCAAGTTAAATCTAATTTTTACTACTAAAATGGTTAGATAATGTGTCTTATTCATTTATATGGTGGGATATTATAATGTCACAACTTCTTTATATATTTAAAAGGTTTAGATGTATTGTTCATTTTGTCATATGAGACCAATATTGTTAACTCAAATGATGGAGACAGATATATATATATATATGGCTTTAATCAGGCAAAGTATGCTACTGGATATAATCCAAATAGAATATCGTCACCACCACTCCAATCACTCAGGAGTCAGGAGTGACAAGTTCATCATTGGATAAAGGCCATTATATACTCCCATATACAGAATTCTGAGACCCCCACCCCCCCAACCCCCCTCCTCAAGATTTACTAATAGAATCGAAAGCCCCACCTCCCTGGGGAAAACTTGAGCCGAGGTTAAGATTTGTACAGACAGTCACATCTGCTGACTAGACTTCCTTTGCAAGGCTATTTTAACCTTTGTTATAACAACATTCATTAACTAAGATTAAGAGTAAAAAGTCATGAAAATGATTCTACAGCAAAATTGAATGTGAGAAGTTAAATGTGTTGAAGAAATTGTTTCTAGAATATCACCGGCAGGCAATTATCCACAAGTGAATTTATGAAATAAAGCTACACCTGAAGAAACTGAAGGTTCCAACAATAGCTTCAGAAGGCAACAATACGAAGTGGCAAATGAAACATAAGTGTCACAGATTTTTCAAACACTAGATTTCTACCCTATTTCCAAGCATCTCAAATAAAAGCCAAAATGAAGTAAAAACAAATATCAAACTTGAATTCATTTAAACAAGGAAAAAAAAAAAAATTGACTTCATTTATATGCTTTCTTTGTGTTCATGTAAAATTCTAGGGCCAGCAGAATCTATTTGTGTAAATTTCTCAAAATGCTACTGCTAATGACAGAATAATTACTAATGTTCACATCATCCTGTGAAAATAAAAATATCTAGAACATAGAGTAACAATTCATAGTCTAGTGACTCAATCACTTCAAATACCATTTAAATGCCATAATAGAAAAGTGTTTCCAAATTAAACCGTAATATGTGTAAAAAACAGATTGTCATTTAAATATTAAATTAAACAAGTTCTGCACTAAACTAATTAGATTTTAAAATTAATTAGTGGGGACTACTGGGGCATAAATTCATTTCCCAGTGAAGGCCCATCAACCACCAAATGAATTCGCCACAATTTTCTTTTCTTTCATCAACCAAGCTTAATTGCAGAGAGAATAATTTTCACATGAATGCACTTAGTGACACCACATTTTCAGATCATAATGTGTTAAATCATTGAACATCTGGAGGGTTGCCGAATCAGAAGACTTAATGGACAACTGTTTTTCAACAAGAATGGTTTCAATTAATACCACCAAGCCTTCAGCTCAAGGGGTATCCTCTCCTCACACATGGGAAGTTGAGAGTTCAAGTCGCCATTGAAGCAACAGTGTGTGTGTGTGTGTGTGTGTGTGAGAGAGAGAGAGAGAGAGAGTTGGGGGGTTGTCTCTTGACCTACAAAAAAAGAAAAAAAATAATCAATTGATGACAAGAACACTTGTCATTTTGTTGACAAGGGAAGCAAAGGCAAGACTGCAACTAATATATTGTTTTCAGCTTCACCTTTTAGGCATATCTTGCCAGCAATTTGATTCGTACCTCAAGGCATGTTCTTTAAGCATTGGACATGATCTTTCAATACATTTCAAAATATACCACAGTAATTAAAGAAAAAAATGCCTTCCAGCTATAAAGCATGGGGTGTTTAGAGCACTTGCTTGTACTCACATATGGCATCTTACCTATCGTATTTAGTTGGAAAACCACTAAGTTATGTTACAAGGATTTAAGATATCTAAAAAATACTATTTGCTAGTATATTACCTTAACTTCCTTGAGCCACAATTTCTTTAATTCTGGATCACTGAGGATAGTTGAAACAATTAGTGCCCCATGAACAGGTGGATTACTGTACATAGGTCTGGCAATCTGCTGCAACTGACTTTTCACAGCCACAGCTTGTTTTTCATCAACGCAAACCACACTGCAAAAATATATGTCAGCAGAAGGGAGTGCTAGGGAGATCTCCACTTTCTGAATTCACTTTACAATGTATAGAAGGTTTAGTAGTAAGCTATGTTCTTCATTGTTTACCTATAGGGAATTAGAAAGTAATACTAACAATAAATAGATGCCACGCCATAAAGACATCAGAAGCAACACAAAATACCCATCAAGTGTTACACACTTAAACCTCTCATATTATCTCTCCAACTCCGTAATCAGGACCGTGCACTTCCTAGTACTACAGTGATGTTGCAATAGAAATTGGATTCAATCATCAGATAACCTTGAAAGCTTGAAATAAGACCCAGGAAAGTAACGTTATCAGAAAAACTCAAAAAATATGAAATATTTGATGATATAGGAAAAGAAATGGACAATTGTGATGGCGAGATGTAGCTTATAAATTTCAACAGAATAAATTATGATTTTTATTTATTTTTAATTGTTCTTCAAAGAGGGAGAATTATACCTCTATATAATTAGCTTGATGGTTCTATAAAATTTTAATTGCATATTATTAATTAGACAGTATAGATACATTGGCATAATAATAATAACTTGTTATACGCCCAGAACCTTTAAGACTTCTGAGAAATTAGTGTTCCTCGCTACTGCCACAACCCCATTTCTATAACCACTCTAGCTCAGCTTCGTAATAGTACAAGAAGACCAAATCCTTTTGTTAGCTACTGTTAATGGATGCTATAAGGGATAACTAATTTTGTGTCAATATGTGCAGAAAGACAAGTGGGACAAACTATTCCATATTTCTGAAACCCTCATATTCAATCTTACCAGCAGTTGTAACAGATTTATAAAGAAAAAGAGTATTATAATAACAAGTTTAAAACCTCATATCCAAGGCCTGCATAACAAGTCTACAAAGAAAAAGAGCATAATAATGACAAGTTTAAAACCTCATGTCCATGCCCTGCATAACTGACATCATTGAGTAGCATGAAGAAGCTTGGTATCAAACTTTATTGTCTGTGACATGTCAATGATCTCATTCAATGTAAGTGAAAAATGATACATTCTTTATACAAATAACCGCACATGTATAAAATCTCAGATTATCATATGCAGGTTAGTAGACTAGAACTGTAATAATGTCCAACAGTCCAGATTACCACAGGAGAAGTCCAAGAAAATAATATGAGTGTAAAATTTTTGTCATCTACGACAAGTCATACAATAATGAAATCATTCAGCGGAGTAATCTTGTTAAAGTAATACTGGAATCAAGGTGGGAGCACCACACAAACAATCACCTGAGACATCCTACTCTCTGGCCATAGAGTCCCATATTTTTTGCATATGATTGGGCACAACCAATTGGATGACCATCCTCAAGAAAGATCCTGATAGATTTTGCATCCCTCTCTGGATCACCGCTAGCAAAACCTTGATATGCCATGTCAAAGAAGGCAAAATGACCTTTGACCTGACAATTAAGATTTTTAGTTTATGAAAGAAGAACAGAATATCTATCATGTGTGTGTACCTTGAACTGGTGTGAGATCTCTCTCCATTGTTCCTCTGAGGGGTCCACTCCAGTCGGATTATGAGCACAAGCATGAAGCAGAAAGAATGACCCATTTGGAGCATTCTGTACAAGAAAATAAACAGATAAATGTTATAAAAATATATATAGATACGCAAAAGAAAAAAATGGACTATCAAGATGTGTCTTGCCCACCTTTATGTCATCCATCATTGAAGCAAAATCTAATCCTTTCGACTCTGGATGATAGTAATGAAATGTCTTTTGAGTGACGTGAGCATCTCTCCAGATGTTATGATGACTGTTAAATTATCTTGTTAAAAGTTTCAAAGAAAGAGAACCTTATAAAGGAGTAATGAAAATTTCTAGCAACAATGCTCACTTGGACCAAGTAGGGACCGGAATGTAGATTTGAGAATCAGGGCAAAAACGTTTTTGAAAGTCTGCAAAAAGTCGACATGCTCCGGTCCCTGAGAGAGCTTGCACCGCTGCAATCCGCTTATCTTTGATCAAGTCAGAATTCTCCCCGTACGCCAGCTTCAATGTTTCCTCAACCATCTTCACACTTCCTCCCATGGGAAGATATTCCCTGGCAATTTTTAAAAATAAAAATACTATAAAATAAAATAAAAGGTTGTATAACATATTTCATCAAGAATCAAAACTGTGCAGCACAAATAATATACACACACACACACACACACACACACACAGAATACAAGATACAGTGCTGCCCTTAATTGTTTAACCAATGAAAAAATTACAGCATAAAACTATGATTTGAGAAGACACGGAAACAGCGGACACAAGAAATAACAGATCTTCCAAAGAAATGTACCCCCTTCTAAAGTGCCCTTATATTCATAAAACTCAGTCACACTCTCATCAGTAATGAAAAATGAGCAGAGTGAAAGATTTATAACAAAAGGGAACTTTTAATATTTGTGCTGAACTGATGATACTACAAAGCTCAGATGGAGATACCTGTTTCCGTATCATTAAGTTCTTAATCAAATCTTATGCAATAGAACAATATCATTGGGCTTGATACAGTTCATATTATGATTATCCTATATAATCTGGTCCTAATATATTATATGTGCATATATAAGTCATGTTGATCTCATATCTTATTTTTTACCACCCTGCTAACAGTAAAAAATGAACTCTCTGCAATAAGGGTATAAAAGAACAAACTGCTATTTGATTTGATGGAAATATTTTCCAGAGCAACTCCAATCATGCAGTGAGATAAACTTTTTTCAACACAAATTAAAGAAACATGACTATTTTTTCCATTACATTTCACTAAAAGCATTAGCAGAATAATATTTCAGGGAGATTCCTTTCTTTTTTAGTCTCCATTTATTCTGATATAGAGTTGTCCTTGAAGTTGGGGAAATCTTATCAGGCCAGCTTCAAATATATATATATACATATAATTTAGGAAATATATATATATACATATTACAAACTGGTAAGGGTTTTGTTTTTTTAGAATAAGTTTTTCTTGGAAATATTATCCTTGCAACAAACAGAACGAAGATATTACTTGTATTTCCCTTGCAACAAACAGAGTGACTAGGGAATCTTGGTCCATTAGCCAAAAAAAGGTGGAATTGCAATATTGAAAAAGAAAAAGAAGCATGACTACATCATGATACAAAAGTAGCGCATAAAGATAAAAAGAGAAATCAAATTGGCAAGTGGAGAATAAAAAAAATTGGCCAGCATTGCAATATTTACAAGTTGAAAAGGTGTTACTTTCCATAACCTCAAACTTGTAATTTGTAATTCAAAAAAGATTCTAACTAACCAACACCTGTGATAACATTAATAAATAGTAAGGCCTCAGTTTTCTGTTTGGTTACCGAGAAAATAAACAGAAAAAGAAGCATGACTACATCATGATACAAAAGTAAGGCATAACGATAAAAAAAGAAATCAAATTAGCAAGGGGAGAATTAAAAAAATTGGTGTTAGTTTCCTAACCTACCAAATTTTAGAAAAGTGAAAAGTGAGATTTGAAAAGTGAAAGTACAATTTTAGATTTGAAAAGTGAAAGTACAATTTTTTTTTTTTTTTTTTGGTAACATTACAAATTTAACTTTCTTGCATTAAACTTATAAAAGGTAAACTATCACATCACATAGATCAACTATTGACATATTTGATAATTCATTTAGTACCCATAAAACAAAAAATATATTCAAACTTATCTTCCTAAAAAGTTAGATTCCGGAAAATGGAGATTTCATTTGGTACAGGGGTAGTAATTTGTAACTCAAAAACGGTTCTAACTAACTGTGATAACAATAATAATAATAATAAATAGTAAGGCCTCAGTTCTCTGTTTGGTTACCGAGAAAATAAATGGAAAGAAAATAAATTAAGAATTTTTTCATATTTACACCTGAAACAACAGAAATATAGTTTGCTCAACCTAACCTAAAATAAGAATTTGGCAGATTCAATATCTTGTTTCTTTTACTTTTCTTTCGCTTTCCCGGGAACCAAACAAAAGGTGAACGTGTAAAAAATAATTGCCGACACGCACTTACATGTTTGAATTTCCGGCGATCCTCCGCTCAGCTTCTCTGACGCACCCGAGAACAACAGGCTTTCCATTATCGTCACGATAAGCACCCTAAACAACCAGAAAAGAAATAAAATTAAAGGAAGTCTAATTGAGCTGAATTGCTACATCTCTTTTTCTTTTACATCGTTTTCCTAGCAACCAAACGGAAAATGAGAGATAGAATAGGGATAGATTCAGGGACGAAGCCAGAATTTTTGTTCGTATACTGACTCCGTCCTGGATAGATTAATTGTGGAGACTTACAACTCCGACATTGACTTTATCGGGACTGGGATCTGCTAGAAAAGCTTCGGTGACGCCGAGAATCGGATCCTTGGCTGCGGGCTGGACGCTTGTCCACCAGGAGGACATGGATCGCGCTCCGAACGCTGAATCTGACCGGAGGAGGATTTGTCTCGAGATCGCTAATCGAAACGCCATGGACAATGATGATCCACTACAGTACCATCTCATGCAAAAATATATATGTATATCTAACGACTGTGTATGTATTTATATATGCATAACTATAATTGTATATATATACAGTATAAAAATAGATCAGTGATCGACGAAGGAACCTTGAAAAGTGTGACGCTGCTAGTGGGCGATTGATGCACGTATGTATTTTATGACATTTTTGCTTATCCAATTAAGAGAATATTACCGCTCGCCCACTAACTCTCCATCATATACGATAATACGAGTGACAAATACATTTTGAAAAATAAAGGAAACGTAATAAAAAAAATTAAAATTTATGTATATAATGAGCTAACAAATACATTTTGAAAAATAACGGAAACGTAATAAAAAAATTAAAATTTATGTATATAATGAGCTAACAAATTGAGTTTGAACGGAGTGTGAAGTCATCAGACTCAAACCAATTTGCATTACTTTTGATAATTGTGTATATCAAATCTAAATAGTATTTAAATAAATAAATTTAGATAGTTTTGAATTTGAATGCTCATATTATTGTAGGTTGTATTTAAAGGACTTGGATCGTCTAAGTTAAATATTCTCTAAGGGTCAATTTGGTGTAATGGCTAAGAGAGGAAAGGGAAGGGAATGTGATGGAGGGGGATTAAAAAGATGTGTTTGGCATAAATGGTGGAAAAAAAAGGGAAGGTGATGGATGATTTTGGAAGGATAACTCAAGGCATGAATAGTATTTTTCTTAACCTCCCAAAAATGGGAGGAAATGGAAGGAAAGGAAGGCTAGGCTTGATGTATTTGCTCTGATGCCAAAGTTACCCTTACACAAAATTAGGATTTAGTTTGCAAAACAAGAATTACAGACCTTGATTAGTTGATTTAGAAACAAAATTAAAACAAAACACATACATATATACAAGTTAGAAGTTGCAGCGAGAGAGGGGGGCAAGCTTGGAGAGTTGAGAGACAGCAGCTGAAGCTTACGAACGGCGAATGGCAAACCCGAATTGGAACAGTGGGCGATGGAAACCAAAAGATATAGGTTTTGATTTTTTGAACAATCTGAAATGATATGCTGATATGGGTTTTGATTTTGTAGATTTTGTAGTTTCCAGTTGCACAGAGAGAGAGAAAGGGCAAGTGAAGAGTTGAGAACGAGATTTATAGATGGAAGCGGAGGCTGAATTGATTTGTAAAGGCTGAATTTTTTTTTTTTCTTTTCTTGTGGGCCTAGAGACACTAAATATATATATATATATAAAAGGGTATAATGGTCAATTTATTAAAATAATTCCCTTTCTTTTCTTTCCCCTTCTTTTCCCAAACGTGATTATTGTCCTTCCCTTTCTTTTCCTTCATTAATCAACCAAACATAATACTAAATTATATATCAGTAATGTTCAATTGCTCCCTGATAAGCGGGAAGTAGTATACTCACTATTAATCCTAATGATAGAACATAATTCAATGGACATTATTTAATTAACTTTCTTATAATTATTTTTGGAAAGAAACTTAGGTTTCCTATTAAAATTCAATACAATTAAAATGCAAATGACAAAATTGGACATTTAACAAAAATTTAACAATTGTGTTACTCTTTTCATTGATTGAATTAGAATTAGGGAAGCAAAAAAAAAATATTTCCTCTTCTTCTCACAAAGTAAGACTAGAGATTTTCTTCGAAGCAAATAAAAAATTACAGGTTTCTTATTTCAATAAGTAAAACTATAAATTTAATAGTGTGTTATTTCATATTATCCAGTGAGAAGAAAATAAATTTTTTTCATAAAAAACTAGAATGTTTCTTAATTCTCATATATTAACAGTAGTGTTCAATTGCATCAATTTGGATTGTTATTAATAATTTTATTAAAAAAAAGTCTACTTGGCAAAATTAAAAGTGAGAGAGAAGCTTCATTGCAAATATAATCAAAGTGATTTTTAATCTTAAGCATAACATCTAAATAAACCAAATCCTTTATACTTTAACCAAATTAGTTTAGTAAAGTATTATTTAAAAATCAGTATACTCTAAACCAATTTTGTTACTGGTAAAACTCCAAGCAAATTAATTGGTTTGAAAGTGTAGCTTTTTTATTGTAGTTTCAACAATCAATAGCCTATTGCATCTTCCAATTGCAGGTCTTAGCTTCATCTAATTGTCCATCTCTCCATCTCATCTTCGCAACAATCATGAACTACCAGGAATCAATAGCCTATTGGGGAGTAACGAAATTGTTAATTTTTAGTTTTAGGAAAGTATATTGTAAAAAAAAAAAAAAAAAAAAGGTATATTGTTAAATTTTTGTTAAATGTCTAATTTTGTAATTTCATTTTAACAGTATCGAATGTAATAAAAAAATTAAGTAAATTTCCAAAAATAATTATAAGAAAGCTAATGATAAGAATAAAGAGGAGAGAGAAGATCTTTTTGTGGAAAACATGAGGGAGAGATAACGACCTTAAAAACGTGTGTGGTGAATTTTTCTTAATTTAAAACGGTGCAGTTTTCAAAATTTCTGTCACGTGTCAATCCGTAGCGAATTTAACTTAGGTGACTTAGAAAATATATTTAACTTAGAGAATCCAAATCCATATTTGAAATGAAAGAGAAAGGAGATAACATTAATTAATTATGAAAAGAAGAAAAAATAACATATTAATCTCTCCGCTGAAAAGTAAAGAAAACAAATAATACTAAAATTATACTATATTTAAAAAATAATAAATGTTTTATTTTTGTAAAGGAGGATAGACCTTGATAGTATAACTAGAATTCATTTATTATTAGAAGTAAAATTGATTTAAATACGCACTTTGCAACTATACGTGTAATTAGTAATCTCGCTTTGTTCATCTATCCATATCCTTAAAAAATATTGCGAAATGAAGAAAGGGGCAAAAAGGGTAAAATCGAAAGATAGCTGAATGAATGTCAGCAAGTATAGCTGGTTTTGGACAATAAAGCACGAAGGCAATGGTCATCTTCAAGGTTGGACATGGACCACATGGTACCTCTTTTTAAAGTTGGCGTTCGCCTTATTGGCCCAATTGTTTAATAGGAGAGGAGGAGGAAGACTTTTTGTTTGAGAAGAAAAGAATAGATATTCTTCATTTGGTAGCATGATAATAAAACTGGTGTTAGTTGTTCTTCAAAATTGTATAGTCTATTATGGATATTTATCAAAAGTTTTGTGGCATTTTTCATTTGTACAACTTTATGTATTTCACACAATAGCAATGATCATTTCAGAAATTCCATGTGTTCCCCATTTGTATCTGGCCAATCCAGAGGATTTTCTTTTGCCTAAAAACAATATCATAATAGGTTCCTCTTTGACAACGGTAAAAAATAAAAGTATAATAAATATATGTGTGTATATATATATATATATATATATAGGAGGATTAAGAGAGATAAAGAAAACAAGATGAAGGAAATCAAGAGGAATTCATTTATATGCTTTCTGTAATAGTTTTTCAAATCAATACATATATGCCTATTTATAGGCTCAGAACGAGGCTTTCTCTGTAATATTCAAAATGAAGTTTCTATGGTAAGCCTTACGAAGCTTCCACTGTAAGCCTTAATATGAAGCTTTCATTGTAAGCCTTAGTTGTCATCTTCCTCTTCAAGCCAAGGATGTCATCTTGGATGACTTAAACCATTGTAGATCCCACACAAACATAGATATATATATATATATATATAACAAAAAGTTCATCTTTGACAAATAACTATTCATTATTTAAGTTGACCAATACTAATTAGGGTAAAATGCAAAAAACTCCCTCAACTACAAAAGTTATATAAAACACTCCTGAATTATAATTTCTATTGCAGATTACTCCATTCGGCCATGAGCCGGCTGAATCTCACCGTAAAATGATAATGTGACCCACACATGACACACAATATAATTTTTAATGACTATAATTCCCTTATAAGTTTGAAAAGACTATATCGCCCCTTACTGTGACCACAACACTCAAACACCTCTTTAACTTATTATTACCCCAAACACACCCTTATCATACTCTCACACACACGTACACACACATATATAAGAGAATGTGTGTTAAAACACTGTTCATCTTCTTCGCTGCTTGTTATACACAAAACGAACGTTAATGGAGAAGGGTCAGGAAGTTGAAGTGGGCAACAAAGCTACAGAGGGACATACTGAAAAAGCATTCAGCTTATGGAGTAACATCCCGTATATGATATAAGTCTCAACCTTGATGGAAGAATGAATCCCAATTTGTAAAAGTAAGTAAATTAGATATCATGCACTGTTTTCAACAAACCAACACTAGCCGCTAACTAAGCCATTGATAACACGTCGATCGTGTTAGACAGAGAGCACACACACATACACACACACATAGTTATTGGTCAAAGCAATAAGGTCAGAGAGCGCCAAATTCGTAGAAGTGATGGTGGTGTTGTGGCGACGAGGCAGCAACAAACGGAATAAGCCCAGAGTAGCAGCGACTTCACAACTTGGCAAACCCAGAAGTGCGATGATCCCCAAGTATGGTGAAATTTAGTTCAATTCAACGAAGCTCGCTGCTACATATATAACAACGGCGGGGACGACGCCTCCTTGACCTCACAACTAGGGATGACAATTTGACCCGTCCCTGCGGTTACCTGCCCCACCCCGTTTTTAGCAGTTTTTGGGGACTGTTTTGCTTATATGGGCGGGGATGGTTTCATGTAATAAAAACCCGCGCGGGTGTGGTGCGGGGGCAGGGGGAGGTCACCCCGCCCCGCCCCGTTTAGATATACAAATTACTTAAGTACCCTTATTTCAATAGTATATATATTTATCACTATATATTAAGCACCCTATATAACAATATTAAAGTAACAAATGAATTTGATTAAAAAGAAAGTTACAGTGGTGAAGAATTGAAGATGAGGGGAAAAAAAAAAAGCAAATCTATTTTAACAATAAATAAATTATGGTCTTAAACGGGGCGGGGAGTATCCGCGGGGGTAAAAATGTTAAACAGTTACGGGAATAGGGTAAAAAAATTTCCCCTTTTTACTGTTTTGGGCGGGGACGGCGGCGGGGAAGGGTACACCCGCCCAAACCCGCCCCCGTTGCCATCCCTATTCACAACGGAAGACAGTGGTGATAAGAACCCAGCGACTGTCTTGGCCGCACCTTGTTGGTGCCAGATTCTTTTATAGCACTCCAATGAGTCCAAATGTTCTTTTCATCTCTTAATTTCCATTTACACGGATTTGATTTGAAGCATAGCTGGTTAGGATTGAATCTGCTATTTTTCTGATCAATTAAAAAAAAAAAATAACCCAAACACACCCCGCCAGTGACACACTCGAATCCTCTTCCCATGCCAACGAACGACGATTCTGTGATTGTATCTTCTTCGGCTTCTCGCTTTCTCCACTGTCAATATCATGGCTCGAATCCTTTTTCGAGCCAATAACGGTTCTATTGTAACCTCCAATTTGATGTTGTTCAAGTTAATTCTAATGCGATTGTCCTCTAGATCTTTCAATTTTGGGTTCTGACTATTGTCAAATTCGACGCAAGGAGTGAGGTGACGCAGGGGATGATGGCGTTGGAAAAGATGTCGAAGTACTGGCTAGAGACACTGCCGACGAGTGCAGTGGAGTTGGAAAGGATGAAGGTGAGTTCAAAGTAGGGACTAAAATCGAAAAAATGAAGAGGACGAATAAGGTGCTTGTTTGTGTGGATCGTATTGCAGACTAGTTCTAAAATGGGCTCCTATATCGAAGAGTATTGTGAAGCAAGAAAATCTTAGGGTCTGCTTGGTTTGTAACTCTATAAACATTTTTTGTTCTCATAGAAGTGAAAACAGAAAACTGTACAAAAAAACTTTATTTTGTTCAGTTTTCTGAAAACTATTTTCTAAAAACTCAATTATAAAAATACTTGTTTTCAGATAAGTATAAAATATTGTTCTCTGAGAAATTTTTTTTATTTTCTGAGTTATTGAGAATTGTTTTAAGAGTTACAAAGGCTTTTACTTCTCAAAGGGAGGTCAGGGGTTCGAACCTCAGTGGAGGCAGTGTGTGTGAGTCCCAACTAGGAAAAAAAAAGAAGTTACAAACCAAGCAGACCTTTACTATTTTGAATATGTCATTCACCGGATTTTGCTCTGCACTCTTAGACGATTACTGAAAAAATTGGAGCAATTTTATGATAGATTAATGTTAAATTCTCTACAAAATTTTGTTCGTATTCATATATGATGAATTAAAGTGAAACCCAATGAATATAGGCGACTGATTTAGGACAATTTATTCACGAGTAGTAATATTCACACCGAACACTTGTAGTGAATTGTCAAACCGAATAATTTTTAATTTGTTATTTTTACCAAATACAACTAAGTGGAGGACTCCACTTCTTTATTTGTTGCATAATTGACCAATTAAAAGAGTAAGTCTAGCAATTCACTGCAACTATTCGGTACAAGAATCATTTTCCTTTATTAATATTTAGTTATTTTTATTATTTAGGTTTCTTATTTATTTTTATTATTTACTTTTCTTATTTATTTTTATTTTATAATTTTTTAGAGAGATTTTAGTTTTTGGTAATTTTCTTATATTTTAGTTTAGTTTAGTTTTTGTAATGACCCGAATTCGAGTGTCTGAATAGTTAACAGGGTCCTTACCCGAACCCAAGATCATCCGAAAGCATTACCGTCATTTTCTATGTCAATGTATTACCTGTCCCGAATTCACGGCAAATAACATACAACTTTTCATAATCAACATCATCAATAAACTCCTTAAGATAATCCATCATTATCCTATCCAATCCAAAGGTATCAACATTGTCATTACATACATCATTGGTCATTAACAGAATATTTGAAATTACATCAAGTATTACCAAGGTTCATAATTACAATTACAGGCCACAAAATATACAAAGTTGTACATGCTCTACTAAGGTTATACAAGGATGAGACTTAGGTACAAAAAGGTAACAAGATGATCATCTAAAATCTGTCTAAGCCTGTGTTGGAATATCATCCGTCACTTCCTTTCCAAGACCTGAAAAATATAATAATATAATTAGGTGATCACAACCGCTCAGTAGGAGGTGTCTAAGACACATCTCTTAATGACCCCGTGAATCCACACAAAGTATAGAATAAAGATATACGGGATCATGCCATAAAGAAAACACGATAACCACAACAATGACAACAATAATGCAGTTCATCCAACCATATGAATACAATGCATGCCAATTTCACTCTCCATTTTCGAAACATTACCCTTTCACCGTTCCAAACTGTTAATGCAACCCGACCCACAACAGCTCTATGGCGCCACGAGAGAAGGATTGACTAGCTATCCCCGACCACATGGCATCTCCAATGAGTCGTTTCGGGTCTAGGTAGCTCAACAACGCTAGAGTCTTTCCCTAATTCCCTCTAGATCACATTAACGTTACGGACCACTAGGCAGCTCCTAGGCGCCCAGATTTTCGCAAACCACTTTTCAAAACATTTTTTCAAAATAATTTTCATGGCTTTTAAAAACAACTTTTCCCCTTTTTCCTTCCCAATGAAATGCATAAATGCCTCATACCATATACAATCATGACATTATACATTTTTTATAATTTGTAATCAATCACAACAATATAATATGCCTTTATAGAATTTCAAGAAATAAATCACATCATACTCTCATATAACAAATTCAACACATCCAACATAGTAGACATATTTCATTTCTAAAAAAAATTAAATTTCAGCAATTTATACACATACAATGCAACAACAATTTTCAGTTTAGCATGTTTCATCACATCATCCCAATAAACATATTTTTTTAGCCACATAATCACATAGAGCCCAATTAAACATAAAACCCTTAAAGACATAGACAAAATATTAAGCATGTTTATAATCACATTAAAAGGGAAAATTTACTAAAACTAAAGAAGATGTGGATTAAAATACCCCTACCTCAAAAAAGGAATAAAACTCCAATTTCAACCTAAAATTTCAAACTCCAAAGGGTGCCCAATTGAAGATCAGCTCCGATTAAAATGAAGCCCATGACGAGCTAGTCCACTTTGCCTTCTATGGCTAAGTTGAAATCCAAGTGAAAGTTGATGCAATCAACAGTTAAATTAAGAAGATCTAGTGAGAGAAAATGAAATTTTTAGAAGGAGAAAGAGGGTGCGATTCTGTAAAGGAAGAATGGGCTAAAAGTAATGTATATGATTATATAAATCAAATTTAGTGCCAAGTGGGGTCCACACAATAAACAAATATGTCTTTTACACCTTTATATGTAAACTCACATAATACAACCACTAAATTAAACATGTAACCACATAAAAATGCATTAATTAGTTAATACAAAAGCGCAAATGCCTCCTGGAGCCTGAGGCGTAAGGCACAAGGCGAGGCGCGCACCCGACTGAAGCAAGGTGCACGTTGGAAAAAAAAAAACAAAAAACAAAAAACAAAACAAAACAAAACCCACCCAATAAAGTATTAAAGATGCAATAGTATATATAAAGATGTAAAAGTCAACTAAATGAATTACTTAAGTTAAATATTCAACATAAAGATGCCAAAACTAAGTAAATCAAGTACTTGAGTTCAAAACAGTGAATAATCAAACATATTAACATAAAGATGCAAAACTCAACTAAGGAGAAGTATAATATAAAACTAAAACAAACATAAACATCATTTCTTCCTAAGAAGACAACACCAATGAATCTAAATATCATCCTTGTCATCAATAAGCATAACATCATTTTAATCGTCACTAAATGATTCATAATTCTCAGGATCCTCTGCTATCTCATCTGAATCATCCTCATCCTCATCCTCATCCACAAGTCGAACTAAAGAACTTCCTGCTCCCTTTGTTGGTAACCGTGAACTAGAACTAAATTTTGATCTAGTAGACCATTGCGGCCTGCTAGCCTCTCCAATACCAGCAAAATTAGCAACATCACCCCATGTCAAGGAATCATCTTCATAGACTAGATCATGTTCTGCATCAGAATCATCCATCATCCCCGTCAACCACTTATTGCTCTCATCAATGTCATCGAGTAAAATGGGATCAAGAGTGTCACACATATTATATCGACGCCTCAATGCTCTATTATATTTGATGAACACTAAATCATTCAAAGTTGTTTGAGTGAGCCTATTTCTTTTTTTGTTATGAAGCTGCAATAAATTCAACTTTAACTAGTAAGTATAAAAAATTAAAAATTTAATTTTCAACAATTAAATTACAAACCTAGTTAGTAGTTAGTATATACTTACATGCTCAAACACGCTCTAATTTCGTTCACAACCAGAAGAACTGCAAGTAAGGCTTAAAACCTTTATAGCAAACTTTTGGAGAAGTTTTGTTGACTTGCCATAAGCTTCCCACCAATTAGCTATTAAAAAAAATTAATAATGATGTTTAGCAACTTTAGCTTCATCTTTCTATCGACTCTATTGTCAAAATAATTTTAACACTTAGCTATACTAACTTAATATACTTTACCACTTTACCTGGTCCTCGTGTACTTCTCTGTCTAATAGCAAAGGGATTACTAAAGAGGCCCTCAGCTTTAGAATATAAGGACAGCTCCTCAGTAATTTTGTCTTGGTCTTTGACATCCGGGACTAACTTTGTAATGCATGCATACAAAACTTTTGCAATCTCTTCATCTTTTTCAATTTTCGAATTTGAATAAAAGTATTCTGGGTTCAAATAATAACCTTCTACATCCAAAGGGCGATGAAGTTGAACATTCCACCTCTTATCAATTATTTCAAAAATATCCTTATATTTGTCTTCTACTTCCCCAAATGATTTTGCAATGGCTTCTTTAGCCCTATCCTTAGCCGCATAAATGTATCCCATGGGAGGCTTTTTCTCGCCATCAACTAATCTCAAAACCGAAATAAGAGGACCGGAAACCTTAAGGCTAAAGACAATGTTATTCCAAAAGGAAGGCATCAAAACATAAGAAGCAACTCTTTTACCAGCTTCCTCTTTCGCCCATTTACTACGATTCCATTCTTCTGAAGTAAACATCTTTCTCAAGTTATTCTTTTGCTTGTGAATACTTGATAATGTGATGAAACATGTAGCAAATCGAGTCTTAGCGGGCCTAAACAATTCTTTTTTATAAGTAAAGTTCCTCATAATGTTCAACAACTTTGGACGCATATAAATATAACTATTCAACTCCATTGCCCTCTGCATTGTTCTAGAGATGGACAGTATTTTCCCAATGTCTTCCAACATTAAGTCTAAGCAATAAGTAGCACATGGTGTCCAATACAAATGTGAGTGTTCTTTCTCTAACATCTTCCCTATTTGAAACCAAACGGAAAAAAGAAAAAATGATATAAAGAAAATGAGTAAATCAAAAAAGATTTTAATTATATATTTGTAAAAAATGTAAACTCTAAAAGTTATAACCATTAAATATTCTTATCGGCATACTTATTGCTTGATTCACTATCTGTGACGACATTTGCTACTCCAATGCGGTTCACAAATTTATTAAGTAAGTCAAACATCTTTACCATCCTTTAAAAAAGAAGAAGTATCTATCGATTCAATAAACATGGTTCCTTTTGGACTATTTACTAGGAAATTAAGCAATGTTCTCCCTCTCTTGTCTGTCCACCCATCTGCCATTAATGAGCATCCAAATTTTGACCACTCCTCTCTATGGTCATTCATCAAAGCATTGGTATTATCCAATTCCTTCCTAAGCAAAGGAACTCTCACCTCATGATAACTAGGTGGTTTCATGCCAGGACCATAATGTCCAATTGCTTCAATAACCTCGGCAAAGCTATCATACTTAATAGTATTGAATGCAATTCCTGCATCATACATCCACCTTGCAAAAGTAGCACACGCTCTTCCTCTCAACTTTTTCTTGCATGCATCATTAATGGTTGTCTGTTTTCCCCCCTCCTTTCTTTTTTGTACCACAATTTCTGGTCTGGGAGTGAAATATAAATCAATCAGTCCCTTTTGCTTTTGCATCTTTGAGGAATTGACACTAACACTGCCATTACCTGCACTAGCTACCCTTTTTCCCCGATTGTTAACTTCCATAGCGTCATCCTCATTCTCTCCATTAATGAAATTAATTTCATCACTAGGTAACAAATTCATTTGCTTTTTTCTTCCTTTTTCTTACTCATGTACTCTTTGATTTCTTCTCTAACACTAGATGGGTATCTTGTGCATGCACTCACATTTCTATACCCTCCAGCTAAGTGTTGCTTAACCCGATAAATACCTTCTTTTGTAACTTTTGCACAAAAGTTACAAGTGACAGCATTTGTATCTTTCGGATTCTCCAAATGTGAGTAATTCCATGCCGGATCCTTTCTTGAACCATCACTAGGCATCTTTTAAAGTACAAACTACAATCAAATTCAAGATAACAAAATAATAACATGATTAGCATCATATAATCAGTGTCTACAACAATTCTGACAAAAAAAAAAAATTACAGAGCTTCAATGAATGAAAGGCTCAAAGCAATATTAACATTTCATGGACTGCTCACAAGTCACATTGTCACAAACACCTTGATATCCATGTTTGCTAAATGTAAGTCTACGAACCAATATTAAAATAATATGTATATATATTAGTTAATTTCATTGCCCCTGTCCATATATATTCTTGTAAGTTTGTAAATTGTAACTCTGTTTTTCCTCTGGTTTTGTATTTGCACAGACCAGAAAAGTGACAACGATAGTGTACTCTATGGTTTATAGACTCTATATACTCACAGTCACATATCAAGATAAAGATGGATACGGGCTGCTGGCAGGAGATTTATAACAATATAACATGTTGATACATTTATATACACACTTATTACTTGCATATACTATATGAGGTTTATCTACTATATGAGATGTAATATATATGCATATATGGACTGCATGATACCATATAGGCATATACCAACTAATATGTATACTACAATTTATTCCAGCAGCACAGATTATAAAAAAATAAAAAATAAAATAAAAGAAAAGGCTGAAGAGCAGAAGCAGAGAGAGCCGAGAAGAAGAATAGAAAAAAAAAATTAAAAAAAAAAATAAGGTCAGAGAGAGCTGAGAAGAAGAAGAATAGAAAAAAAAAATAATAATAATAAAAAAAATAAGAAAAAAATATCATAGAGAGGCTGAGAGCCGAGAGAAGAAGAATAGAGGAAAAAAATAAAATAAAATAAGATCAGACTAGAGGCTGAGAGCCGAAAGAAGAAGAATAGAGGGGAAAAAATAAAATAAAATAAAATAAAGAAGAGCCGAGACTCGGCTCAAAGAAAAAAATAAAAAATAAAAAATAAAAAATAAAAGCAAGACTCAAGAGACTAGAGTCGAGGAGAGCCGAGAGAAGAGAATTGAAGAAAAAAAAAATGAGAAGAGAAGAAGAAGCAAGAAGGAAAAAAGAAGAAGCAAGGAGAAGTGGATAACTTACCGGCGCTTCGCAGATCCGGGCTTCGCAGACGGTAGATCCGAGCTTCCCTTCCAGTTCCGTCTTCGTACTTCTCTCTCTCTTCTCCGTCTCTTCTTTCCTTTTGCTTTTTGCTTTTTGCTTTTTTTTTTTTTTTGCTTTGTAACTTGCAAGTTATAAAAGCTTTAAGTCTTTAACATAATCTGAATATCCGATATCACAGACTCACTGTCTCACACAAGTCACAACCAAAATAATAATAAATCAAAAAATCAAAAAAAAAAAAATTTTTCAAACAGGAGCGCCTGTAGCTCTGCGCCTAAGCCCCAAAAGCGCGCGCCTAGTACAAGGCCCTCGCCCTAAGCCTTTCAAGGCGCCTTAGGCGCGCGCCTTTAACAACTATGCTCAGGAACCATTCGGCACATCCCACGGTGGCTGACACATAAAACGAGACAATACTTAAACAACCTTGAAAAATCAGAAAAATCTCAGAAATTGAAAAATAGGAAAAAATTAGAATCATTACAGCTATTTTTTTATTTTTATTTTTATTTTATTTTATTTATTATTATTATTTTTTTTACAGTTTTAGGATTTTATTTATTATAAGAACATGTACTACGATTACAGAAATATTTAATTCAAATATCAATATATTATCAGATTCCTCTGCGAATTCACTTTTCCTTATGGATTCAAGGGAAAAAGTGGATTCAAGGTAATTCCCGTTTCTCGTGAACATTTATCGCTTCTGCTTACGTCAATAATCCTTCAAAAAATCAAAATTTAGTAACAGTTTGGGAAGGTACAAAGAAGTACCATTTTATGGAAGTGAATAATTTTTAAAAACAGAATAGAAAAAAAATAGATTTTGGTAATTAAATTTTTTTTTTTTTTTTGGTTTAAAGTGAAATTAAACTCAAAAATTTGTGGCGAAGGCTATACAATTCGAGAAACCTAAGGTTGACATTGGTGGGTTTCGCTTCTGTCCACACCAGTGGTGGAACATCCATGGTGGGTCTATGTTCTACCTTGCCTAAGTTGCCAGAACAACGAAGAAGAAGTCGTAGGATCCAAAAAGATAAGTGATACTTATATACTTAATTGCATATATCACTATGTGTGTGTGTGTACACACACACATAAGCATACTTCAAGCAAGGGTAATATGGGAATTTTAATTTATTCAATGCATAGACATCAGTAAATTCGGTCATTTGACTCGCATTGACTGCTAAAAAGGTAAGTTGTATAATAACGTTATATTTTCAGGGGAGGTCTGTGTAATTTCTCAAATTATACGGGAAATTCTTGTAATTATAACAAATTATAGGAGAAGTCTATGTAATTTCTCAAACTATAAAAAAAGTCCCTATAATTATAACAAATCATAGGAGAAACCGGTGTAATTTACCCTTATTTGGTAATAGGTGTATGGGGTTTAGACAATTTGGGTAGATAGGCACCAAAGTTAATTCCATAAAACTTCTCATAACAATAAAAAATTAAAAAATAAATTGTACATGATTTTATTTATTTATATTTTTAACATGTAATCACCTTGAAATATTAAAATTTTTACTAAAACTTCGTCAAAGTTACCATAAAAAATTAAACCAAAATTTTTTGTAAAGTAGTGGTATTTCCTATATTGTTTAAAGGAGATGGTAAAAGTTCGGTAGGAATAATAGGTGTCTGGCGCTAAGTCACACAATTATTCTCAATAGGTGTTGCTTTCACGCTCCGAACGCCTCCCGCTTTTATGCTCTGCGTGCACTCTCGTTCAAATTCTCACTGCTTATGACTTAATTTTGCAGCTCTTTCCGCTCTCGAATTCGCTCTCGCTCTCGCTACCGCTCCCGTTTTCATTTTATGTGACTTAGGTATGGCGTGACTCGCGAATTTTTTCTTTAAAAAAAAAATAACCATAAAAAATTAATCATGTAAATACATCTTTTTTCAAATGTAGGACGGTAAGGAAAAAAAACAAACAAAAAGAGACCCCTGGCAAGATATGTGATGGAGAACCATATTGGGCAATCTCCTTCCAGAGTTATACACCAATTACAAGGGGAGCTAGATATGTGATGGAGAACCATATTGGGCAATCTCCTTTCAGAGTTATACTCCAATTACAAGGGGAGCTTCAAACCACCTATGCAACTTCAGTGCATACGCCCAAAAAAACAAACGAAGGGTCTCGTGCCTAAAACCCTAAGAATAAAAAAAGTTGGCCACCTGGTTCTCCATTAATAATTTAGCCCCGTGGCTAAAACCCTAAGAATAAAAAAAGTTGGCCACCTGGTTCTCCATTAATAATTTAGAGCCACTTATTATCGAAACTTAGCGTTCTCGGCTCTAAATAACTACGTAGTACACTTTACTGATGAGACACCTTGGCCATGATTTTTAAAATCATATGGGAGGTTTTGCACTTTTATTTTGGCTTGTAGGGTGGAGAAAATGTTTAGCCTTGCTTTTTAATTACTTAAAAGTGTTTTTATTTTAAAATTTTATTTTTAGATGTATTTATTAATCATTAAAAGTGTTTTTAATAATTATTAATTTTAGCTCAATAGAAGGTTTGAATGAAGTTAAGAACTTTTAAAAATGGTTTATGAATAAAGGTTTAATATTTCAAGTAACTTTTTTTCTTTAGAAATTTTATTTTATTTTACTTTTTATAAAGGCAATTACATTCCTTCCTTTATAAACCGATAACATATTATGAAATGATATTATTATAAAATTAGCAATAAAAGTTTTTAATATTATTATCAAATAAATTTTAAAAATTATTTAATTGTGAAAAGTACTTTGTCATCAAACACCTAACATATTTTTTTATCGTAACAATTTTTTGATAGTTTCACGAACAAAATTGCTTTTTTTTTATTTTTTATTCTAACAGCAATACCAGACGGACACTTAAGCCCATTTAACTAATGCTTAGGAAAAATTAAAAAACTAATGTCTATAGAATATTTTATAAACGACATTACCGAGTGACACTCAAGAATAAAGATGATATTTGTATACAATTATCCTTGCATAAAAACAAAGAGTAAATTGCAAAAACATTCCTCACAACTATCACAATTATAAAAATAAAATAAAAAATCATTGTACGACCAATAAAAAAAAAAAAAAATTTATTAATCTCCAACATTTGCATATAAATACACACTCTGAGCATTTAATGATATTGTAAAGTTGCTTAAGTGCCCTCATAAAATGAAAGAACAAAAAGAAAAAAAAGAACTTATCAAAATGCAACAAACTCCACTGAATAATTAGAATTTTGAATAAATAAAATAAAAATTAAATAAATAGAAGAATCTCTAAATTATTAACTTGATACAAAACCCATAAACTATGCAAAATATACACACATATGTGTGTACAAATAAAAATGCACATGCGTAGAATTAATTGCTGACAATACAGTAGAGGAGATGGAAATTGACGACAATCAAGAAAGTCTATTTATGAAGTGAAAAGGTTCGGAGGTAATTCAATTGTAAATTTTTTTAAGTAAAATGGCTTAATTTAATTAATGGATATATCAATGATTTAAAAATTTGTCAACGCAAATGTTAATGGTATTTGAACTTATTCTTCACTTACAAAATCCCACTTCAAAATTTCTAATTTATCACGAGGGTAATATTGTCATTTCAACCCACCAAGACAATCAAAACCCTAGTACCTCAACACCATCTCTCTCTCATATTAGGGTTCTATTTCTCTCCGCCCTTCTAATTTTTCTACCCACAGCATCACACACTACCAGCTGCGACATTAGCACCACAGAGCCATGGTCCTCTCTCTCTCTCTCTCTCTCTCTCTCTCTCTCTCTCTCTCTCTCTCTATCTAGATATCTATATTCCTATTATATATCTGTTTATATTCACTGTATGTATGTCGATGAATCCAGGCTTCAGAGAAGAAACTATCGAACCCAATGAGAGAGATCAAAGTGCAGAAGTTAGTCCTCAACATATCCGTAGGCGAGAGCGGAGATCGCCTTACTAGAGCCGCTAAGGTACACCCCATCCTCATCATATCTCAATGCACACACACCTCATAAGTCATGTCTTCCTCATCTTCTGATCTATTCCATATTAATCGTCCACAGGTCTTGGAGCAACTCAGTGGCCAAGCCCCTGTTTTTTCCAAAGGTAACATTTTGGTGTTGTGCTCCGTTTGGTTATATAGAAATTAAACATTTTATTTTGGTTTAAATTATTAGTACTGATTTAGTTTATTTAAGACATGTGATTTTTTAATTTTTTTTTTGATGAATTCAATCTGTTATCGTGTCTCTTCAAGTTATTCTAACTTAGTATATGGTACACTTTTAATCCTTTTTTATTTTCCGGCCAGTTTCTGAGACCATGCACGAAATCAAACGAAAATTTAATATTGGATCTTATATTTTATTTTTTTTAAAAAAATTTAGTATCCTAGAATACAAAAACCGTTTATATTTAGTATGGCTAGATTTTTACCAATTCATTGAATCCAAAGTAGTCTGTTACTTTCAAAGAGTTTGTATTTGGATGGGTAGATATGTTTTATGAGTTCAAACCTATCTTCTATATTAAAGGGGAAGGGAAATTAGGAAAACTTCTAAAGTTTTGACAATTGCAGTATGTTTGGGTAAGCAGGCAGAAATGGTAGGAAAACAATTATATTAGTTACGAGATTAAAGATAACAAAGTAAATGATTATTCATTTCTTCTTTTTGGTAAGCTCCATCATCATCCTTGCCTTGCCTTATTCCCACATGAATGAGGTCAGCCACATGACTTCTTTTTGGTAAACTATGAAAGGAAAATAAGGAAATGGTAATGGTAACTTGTATGAAAAAGATAATGTGGGGAACGAAAATAAATAAATATTTATATTATTTTAGAGGAAAGGGAGGAAAAGAACTGAAGGACTAAATGAATAATTAGTATGTTCATTATTTTTTCCTTCTACATTTGAGATGGAAAAAAGTCGCTATATGAGGTGCTAAGAGTACCCACTCTTTCCGTCCTTTTCTTTCCTTCCCTACTCATATTTAAAACAGATTATATAATTGTCCTGTTTGTTTTGGATTTCTGCGAATAATTATCTTCTTATATAATAGAAAATGGTTTGAAAGCTCATTTGGTTGATAGTTTTCTGAAAGCTTTTCTTTGAAATAGAAAAAAAAAAAAAAACACCTAATTCCAGAGCAATGGGTCTGTTTGGTTCAAATTTCTGATTTGTTTTCGGGAAACAGTACCAAAAGTTGTTTGTTAGACACTTTCTTAAAAGCAGTTTTCTAAAGACTCGGGGAAAAAAAGCTTGTTTTCAGATAGTAGTCTTTTGTGGTTCTCAATAGTGTTATCAATGGCCCAAGCGCAATAAGGGAGGTCCTTTGGAGGCTAGGAGCAAGGTGAGGCGAGGCGTGCCCTCGAGTGAAGCAAGGCGCAGAATTGAAAAAAAATAAATTAATGTTAAAGCATACATATTCCATATTAAAGGCGCAAGTCTTGTCAAAGGCGCGCCTGGGCACACAACAGGCGCAAGTGTTGTACCTGTATGAGCTTGGAGCCTAGGCACATCTTTGACAACACTGGTTTTCTAAAAATAGTTTTCTGAGTTCTTGAAAACTTATAGAAACTGAACCAAACAGGCCCGATCTTTTTTAGTTCTATAAAAATTGTTTGGTTTCCTGAAAATTAAATCAAACAAACAAATAATTTTCTATTTTACCTTTATTTTCTTTTTCTTCCAACTCCGGCAACCGTAATGTACCCTTAAGAATTTAATTTTTTCCTTGTTATGGAGGATACGAAGAAAAATCCATTGCTTTGCTTAGAGTAAAACAACTATTCGACTTACTGAAGCTTTTCTTTTCATTATTTGAAAACTTAATGTCTCAACGACCAGTTGGTTATGTTGATTGGTCTATTTTTTTATTTATTTATTATTTTTTATTTATTTCCACACACACACACACACACACACATATTTCTTTTTGGAATCTTTTCTCCAGTTTTGTGACTTTAATGTGGTTATTTGTTGTGGTTGATAGCAAGGTACACTGTGCGGTCCTTTGGGATCAGGCGTAATGAGAAGATCGCATGCTATGTCACGGTCAGGGGTGACAAGGCCATGCAACTTTTGGAAAGTGGGTTGAAGGTGAAGGAATATGAGCTGCTGAGGAGGAACTTCAGTGATACTGGCTGTTTTGGGTTTGGTATTCAGGAACACATTGATCTTGGAATCAAGTAACAGATCTTTCTTCATAACTTTACTTCATTTCAATCGATGGGATGTTATGTTGCATCGAAAAGCTCAAATGCAAGGTTTTTTATTCATCAGTAGTGTAAATGTTACAAGTAAAGTTGTTGACAATGTTATACAAGCATGTCTTGATCAACTTAAAGGTATAGATTATATGCTCAATTTCAGATGATTATGTATAGGTGTGTCTTTTTGTACGCCAAAATGGACCATGACATAATTCAATAGTTAAGGTGCTTTTTATGCCTTTCCCCCCATTACCTCTCCCTCTCCGCTAATCCATATCCATAAGAATTGTGTAATTATTAGACATCTTATTTGCATGGACTGTCTGTTAATTACAGCACGTCTTTTGATGGTAGATCATTTTAATATATAAATCTAAGAAAAGGCGTTCAGGTGACTGAATAATGGAAGGTATTTTTTTGGGAGTGTTGACAGTTAGATAAGAAGGTGTTTTTGTTTTCTTCTACTATTATATTGAGTCTGTCAGCCCTTGTAGTGTTAAAGTTGCAATCTGGATTGTAGAATTGCACAATCTGCAAAAGCCATCATGGGGAGTCCTGAGCCATTTAGATGCCATAAATTATTAGGCTAGGGTAATATTCTCGCTACTTTAACTGAAACAATAAGAGGGAAAATGTTGCGTTTGAAGCTAGTGGCTCTCTTGAAACTAGTACCTACGAAGCACTAATGCTCAATCACTACAAATCGTTTCCATCTTCATACCTAAAGTTTCTTCTCTTAATTTCCTGCTTCTTGTTTTTTATTTTGGTTGTATCGGAATCCAGCTACCACTTAGCTGTTCAACTTTTTCTCTCTCAACCGGCAAATATCTCTCTCTCACATTCCATGTGTGTATATATAAATCTGTGTACATCTCTCTTCTCATCTCCAATCTATGCCAAATCATTTTTCTTTGTGCTTCATTTTCGTCGTCCTTGCCTTTATACCATATGGATGGGGTTGGCCGCATGAATTCTCTTTTTCCATTCTTTCTATTATACATTCACAATGTCTTCTCTTAGATTTAATTTCTATTGAATATATCCATACCATCTTAGTCTACTTTCGCTAATTTTATCATTTATAGGCGCTCTACCTAGAACTCCCCTCACACGATCACTATTTATCTTATCTCTTATAGTTACTCTTATCATCCAACAAAGCACCCTCATTTCTGCTACGTGAATGCATTGCATTTGTTGTGTCTTTTACATCTTGCTGCTCCATCACTATCTCTCTCCATCTTTTTTGTAATATTGATCCTAGATAACAGAATTAGTTATTTTGGGTAACACTTTAATTCTATAGTCTTGAATTGTAATACTTATATTATTATCGTTTTCTACTTTATCAAATTTACATACCATATATTTTGTTTTAATTTTATTATTTTTAAGCCTCTTCATTAAAATGCATTTCTCCATATGACTAATTTTATTGCTAAGGCTTCCTTAGAAGTTTCTATTAATATTATGTTATCCTCAAATAACATCACCGTAAGATGTTTTATTGTATTGTCTAATACTATAGCAAATAGTTATATCTCATTGATTTAATTTCTATATAATTTTCACAATTTTATATATCCCCTTTATTTTTATAAATTTGTACTATTGAGCTTTTCCTCCACTCATTTGGCATCCATTCACTTGGAATTTATTGAACAACTTTGCTAACCATCTAAGTTTATCTTTCCTAAAATATCCTCTATGCTTATTTGGATGAACTTGTGGATTCACTATCCTTATATAATTACAGTTTTATGTGTATTTTGGCTTGTTCACTTTCTATATCTAAGATTTCTTTATTTATGCATATATTTTTAGTGTTCTTTCTTCATCATTTTGAAGGATAGTATGATCTTATCTCCCTTCCTCAATCTGGGACCAGATTCTTTAATCTGAATCAGATTGAAACATGTTAAGACCTTTTTCAAGTTCATCTTTGGGTTGGTTGAGTTTCTCTGCCCCATCTTGATCTGTCACTCTTTCTAAAGAGTCTCATTATATATAGAACCATGTTTCATTTCCATTTCCAGCATTGTTTTCTATTTTCATTTGCAAATTAGCATTTGCACTACATGTGATGTTGGACGAACTTAATCAATTCACTTGTACTTTCGTAATAAAAGTTAATGTATGTGCTTTCTTATGAAATAGAGATGTACCAACTTTTTTGTATCTTTTATTCTTGTTTGATATTCTACCTTCGACTTTCAGGTACGATCCTTCAACTGGCATTTATGGTATGGATTTCTATGTTGTCCTGGAACGCCCAGGTTATCGTGTTGGGCGTCGTCGTAGGTGCAAGTCTACTGTTGGAATCCAGCATAGGGTCACAAAGGAGGATGCCATGAAGTGGTTCCAAGTCAAATATGAGGGAGTGATCCTGAACAAGTCCCAGAATATTGGGGGTTAGCTCCAAAGTATCATTAGACCTTTTTTGTGTTGTATGCGGACAAAAATCTTAAGGACGCTTGGAAGTTCATAGTTTTGGAACATGTCTTTTGTTTCTTTTATAGACCAGGATATGTCTACTTACCAAATTTTCTAAATGAGGGTTCTCATTCTCACCTCTTCTTTGTGGTTTACTTGGCGGCCAGTTAATTTTTATTGGTTTTTAATTATCCAATTGTTTGTTGTTTAGCTCCTGTTGTGTTCCAGATCCCGTTTGATTATGGGTGTTATCTATATGTGCTAATCCGCAAATGGTTATTTATCTAATGATCCCAACATAATAATTGATTGTTTCGATTTGAGTTAATGGATAGGCTTCCACTTCTCAAGCAATTTGATAGTTTGATCCGTTTGAAATATATTCTTCAACTTTGGTCAATGGATTTGTATTAAAATTATTGAACAACATAAATTTTTTTGATTTCCTCCATCTCAGTGATCCCATCGATACTTTTAAGTCTTGGGTCATTTTAAAATTTCTATTATATCCCGTAGCAACAATGATTTTATTTATTTATTTTTTAATTTAAATTTTGTGACACTAATTAAGTCAACATTTGGGGGTGTGAACTTGATTTTTTGAATATTATGATATAAAATTTCAAATTTGGAATATTCATGTATCTATTCATCCATGATTCTACAAAGGTCAAGAGCAATAAAGAAAGCTTAGAACTATGATTTTGAGAATGTTTAAAATTTGAACCTGCAACCTTTATGCCTTGGTTGTTAATTGCTGTACTGAATGTTTAATCCTTAAGATTAATGGTCTTCATTACAGTTTGTTGAATTTAAAATGTACCCATAATTCAATGCTTTATAGAGTGATGTCAAAATAAATAAATAAACACCAATAAAATCACATTGATACATATTTATTTATTTATTTATGGAAAATGATAGGGTTACTGAATGATTTTTTCGAATAAACCTGAATCTGACTTTTTTGTTCATCTCACTTATTTGAACAGTTTTTAAAAAAATATTATTTAAAGTGTAATCAATCATATTAAATTCGGGACTTATCTAAAGATTTCTTTTTGGTTCTTTATCATTACTCTTTATTTATTAGAGTAAAAAATGCTAAATGATTGATAGTCAGGAGACTCGGGACTGTACGGGGGACCATTGAACCTGTTACGACTGCGTACACCTTAAGACGAAACGAACAATCTACCCTATCTGGCTGAGCTTTGAAAAAGAAAAAACATCTACCATATCCAAAATGGCTGGCTGAGGACTGAGCCTTTGCTAGTGTTACCCTCAGCTGTCGCGATACGTGAACCTGTTCCTCAGTTCTGCCACGTTTTAACTCCGCGCAAGTGGGCAAGCCCTAGTCGACAATTGGTCTGTCCCAACAAACCAAAAATCATTCACTTCATTGTACACGTGTCAAGCTTTGGAGCCTACGCGCCACGCGCGTAGTCAGTTAACGCGTGTTGCCAGCTGGCAGTTGCAAAGTCGGCTGGCAAATCTTATCCTCTTGCCTACAAAAAGTAACAGTACATCACCGCTCTCCTACATTTCTTTATTTTACAGTAGAATTTTATTGGCTAAATCAAGTAAACGTCATCAAAATCTTTAATTTTCGATCGACTATTCTTGCAAATCTCTCATATATTTGGCTGGGGACTTAACCTTGACGGTTAACCAATGCACAGGTGAGCTCTTTCGCTATTTTATTTGTTTCTTATAATAATATTTTTCCCTGGATATTCATTCAAGTCCAATACTTTCCTTGTATGTATTAAAAGAGATTAAGTTCATTAATATTAAATAAATACGTGTAGAGAACGAACCCGAGATCTTTTCCTTTTTTATGTTGTATACAAACCCTATACAAACCCTAGAATTCGCGTGAAATTTAAGATTGGGACTTGCAACTTTTCGTCGATTCAGAATAGCGGTTAGTATCGTTTCTCAATGTATTTTTATCGTCTTTCTAATGAATTGATTTGTTGTCGATTAAGGTGTTTCGGATTGATTTCTTATTCTTTTACCTTATTCATGATCTGGGTATTGTTCGGATTAGTTGTTTGTGGATTACAAGATATGGGTGTCTTTTCATTCATATTCATAGTGTTATTCGTTTATATGGGTGTTTTTTATTGATATTCATAGCGTTATTCGTTTATATGCGTGTTTTTTTATTGATATTCATAGTGTTGTTCGTTTGGGTTTCATTGCATTTTAAGATATTTAGCTCTGGTAGGGTTCATGGATCTGATTGTGATATCTAGATTACAGTTTTTGATTGTTTGGTTAGTTTATTTCGAAACGGCTGTCTGTTTTTCTATGCAGATAGTTGCGAATTACCCATTTCAAGAGTAAAAGGAATCGTGGGGGTTACAGTTTGCTGTTAGGATCTTGACGGGTTCTTTAACAGAGAGGGAAAGAGAGGTAAAGAGTGGGCGAGGGTAAAAATGATGTCAAGATCATATACCAATCTTTTAGAATTGGCATCCGGGAATTTCCCGGTAATGGGGAGGGAGAGGGAGAGGGAGAGGGAGCGCAGGCGGTTTCCCAGGGTGATGACGGTCCCGGGGAGTATTACTGAGCTCGATGATGATCAGGCCCACAGTGTGTCATCTGATAATCCTTCTTCCCTTGCTTCAGATCGGATGATTATTGTGGCAAATCAGTTGCCTCTAAAATCAAAGCGAAGGCCGGATAATAAAGGATGGAGTTTTATTTGGAATGAGGATTCTTTGCTTTTGCAACTTAAGGATGGTTTGCCGGAAGATATGGAAGTGTTATATGTTGGTTCATTGGGGGTTGATGTTGATCCGATTGATCAGGATGATGTTGCACAACATTTGTTGGAAAAATTTAAATGTGTCCCTACTTTTCTTCCACCCAATATTCTAGAGAAATTTTATGATGGTTTCTGCAAGAAGCAGTTATGGCCACTTTTTCATTACATGTTGCCATTTTCAGCTGATCGTGGATGCCGGTTTGATCGATCTATGTGGGAAGCGTATGTATCCGTGAATAAGTTATTTTCACAAAAGGTGATTGAGGTTCTAAATCCAGAGGATGATTTTGTTTGGATCCACGATTATCATTTGATGGTGTTGCCCACCTTCTTGAGGAGACGCTTTATCCGTTTGAGAATGGGGTTTTTCCTTCACAGTCCATTTCCTTCATCTGAGATTTATAGGACTCTTCCTGTTAGAGAAGAAATCCTCAAGGCTCTACTAAATACAGACCTTATTGGTTTCCACACCTTTGATTATGCTCGGCATTTCCTTTCTTGTTGCAGTCGTATGTTAGGTTTGGAATATCAATCAAAGAGGGGCTATATTGGGTTAGAATATTATGGAAGGACTGTTGGAATAAAGATTATGCCAGTTGGGATTCATATGGGTCAGATAGAGTCGGTGATGAAACTTGCAGATAAGGAGCAGAAAATTGGAGCACTCAAGCAGCAATTCGAAGGAAAAACTGTTTTGCTTGGGGTTGATGACATGGATATATTTAAAGGTATCAATTTGAAGCTGTTAGCAATGGAACAATTGCTCAAGCAACATCCAAAGTGGCATGGAAGGGCTGTGCTTGTCCAGATTGAAAATCCTACAAGAGGTAAAGGGTTAGAAATAGAGGGTACACAGGCTGAAATAAGCGAAAGCTGCAAGAGGATCAATGAAATATATGGGAAGCCTGGTTATGAACCGATTGTTTTAATTGACAGGCCATTGTCAGTCAGTGAAAAAATTGCATATTACAGTATTGCTGAGTGTGTTGTTGTTACAGCCGTGAGGGATGGGATGAACCTCACTCCATATGAATATATTGCTTGTAGACAGGGAATATCTGCTGCAGAATCTGGTTCAAATTTGAATGGCTCGAAGAAGAGCATGTTGGTTGTATCAGAATTTATTGGGTGTTCTCCTTCACTCAGTGGGGCAATCCGTGTCAACCCATGGAATGTTGAAGCAACTGCAGAGGCAATGAATGAAGCTATATCGATTTCTGAACCTGAGAAACAGTTGCGACATGAGAAGCATTATCGTTATGTTAGCACCCATGACGTGGCTTATTGGTCAAGAAGCTTTTTGCAAGATATGGAGAGAACTTGTGCAGATCATTTTAGGAAAAGATGTTGGGGAATTGGTTTAGGCTTTGGGTTCCGAGTTGTGGCTCTTGATCCTAATTTTAGAAAGCTCTCAATAGATACTATTGTCTCAGATTACTGTAGGGCTAAGTGTAGAGCCATACTTTTAGACTACGATGGAACTGTGATGCCCCAAAACTTCATAAACAAGAGTCCTAGTGCAGAGGTCATCTCAATCATGAACAGACTTTGTGGAGACCCACGTAATACAGTCTTCATTGTTAGTGGAAGAGGCAGGGACAGCTTGAGCAAGTGGTTTTTTCATTGCAGGAATCTTGGAATTGCGGCTGAACATGGTTACTTCTTGAGGTGTGCTTTTCTCCTCTTGCTATTTATTTAGGTCTATTTACTTTTGCTGATTTCTTATACTGTATGAATATTTAGTGTTTTGAATATGTACTGGTCTGTACTCAATATAACAATAGCAGATTAGGGACTGTCACGATTTTTGCATGAAACTTGTAGTATTGTTTTTTTGTTGTTGTCTTGTCTTATTTAACTCTTATCATGTTTCAATATCTTTTTCTGAATTATTATTAGTCATAAATCATAAGTTCATATACTCTGATCTTGATTCAGTAGTTCTTCCCCCCGTGGCCCCGCGGAATTGGAAAAGTAATGTAATTATGGATCCCTTTCATTTGAGAAGTCTTTTTCTCTATGTGCCTTCCAGCCTTCCATTATATTCAGTTCCTTGTTTACATTATATTAGTAGGTGTTTTGTTGAATTTGAAACTTGTATGATACAAAAAATGCTAAATTTGTCTGAGAATCCCTTTCTAATTGGAATTTTTTGCCAGGTGTCTTACATTATGTTACATTCCCATTGTCTTTCTCATGTTATCCAGGAACTATTTCTAATATTATTTCCAAGCAAGATTATGTTGGACATGTAGGTCCTTTATAGCTTCGAAATTTTCGAATGCTTAATTAGAACTTATTTGAGATCTATTTTAAAATATGCATACGAGAGAGAGAAAAAAATTCGAACATATTGACTATAGGTACATGATGTGTAAATTTCTGTTGCATTAGATATTTACCCTTTATCTGTGGTCCTTGTGATGGAGTGACTCGAAAGCATGAGTTGCACACTTGGCCCACCTCTACTTTTGGAGAAGGGGCAAGGAATTTAGGGGTGGCAATTCGGGTTCGCGTGTCATAATCGTGTCGTGTCGAACTAGGGGTATAACACTAAACATGTCAACCCGAACACGACACGATTAATAATCGTGTCACATATCCTAAACCCGAACACGACCTGTTTATTAAACGGGTTACACGCACGTGTAACCCGTTTAATAAACGTGTCGTGTTAGACACATCAAACACGACCTGTTTAACATGTTTACCCGTTTAACCTATTTAAGGTGGCTAAAGATTTAAATACTAGCAATCATGACTAGAAATTTTGTACTGTAATGTAGTCCAAAAGAGAGATTAAAAGTCAAAGATAAAGATTAAGTCAGAAGTCATAAGTTACAGACCGAAATAAAAATAAGTCATAAGTTATTATAGACCAAAATAAAGATAAGTCATAAGTTATTACAGACCGAAATAAAAATATTTAATAGAAATGTTAGAGTAGCATGCAATCTTCTTAAGCCAAAGATCCACTCAAAAACTTCCTGCTGCAATTTGCATGCACTCTTTTCTGAAACACCCAAAAGTATAAATTCCTACAAAACAGGCAAGTGTAAAATAAGTTTAGATAAAAAAAAAAAAAATAAATAAATAACAAATTGAAATATAAAAGAATGTATGTAACAAATTATGTGAAAAATAAAACAGATGAAGAGGGCTTTTTTACTTAGCTGGATTTTAATGTTCGGTCACGCTAACACTGGTGGAACATTGGCCTACAGCAAGGTCATCATTGTTGATATTAAGTTTCATTACATCATCAATCAAGTCATCCGCTTGAAGCTTCATTGTATCTATAGTAAAACATACACAAAAAAATTATTACTTCACTATTCTCTGCAATAATAAAAATATAATTTGAAGTTTATTATAAGTCATTTACCTTTCAAACCAAAAAGCCAGTCCCTTGTGCATACCAAAGCTTTCACATTTTCAGGTTTAAGTGCACTACGATATTGATCAAGAACCCGACCACCAACACTAAACGCAGACTCAGAAGCAACTGTAGTGATTGGAATGCTCAGTATATCACGAGCCATTTGAGCAAGCACAGGATACCTAAACTGATTGGCTTTCCAATAGGTAAGCACGTCAAGGTTCGCATTCCTATTGATTTTTGGTTCATCTAAATAGAGTTCCAACTCTGATTTTTGGACATTTCCAAGCAATTTATCATTCTCAAATGAGTCAAATTCTTACATTACAGTAATTATGAAAAACAAATAGATCAATCAATGGCAAGAAAAATAAATAGATGTAATGAATAAAATAGGCATTAAAGGAATTTAATATCTCACAAAAGTATTATTCATCTTTATAACATCAATGAACTTTTTAGTTAACTGCCCCTCATCAACTTGCTGGTGCTCACTTCCATCATTTGGTGAAGATGTGGATTTGGTAGTACAAGCTATAGGAGAATTCAACAAATATTGATCAAAAAGGTTAAACAGTGCATCACGAACTAGTGTGCTCTCAATGTTGTTATCACCATTAAGCTTGTTATAGTTAAAAATAATAAACCCAAGCTTGTATCTAGGATCTAAAATTACAGCAATAGCAAGGATCATGCTATAATCAGACCAATACTTTGCAAACTTTGAATACATTTGAGTTGCCATCTTGCTCATAAACTGATCCCTACTATCCATTTCCTCTCGCAATGTCAATTGAACCGAAAACACAGATGGAAAGTACAAGTTTGCCGTGGGATACTTGGATCCAGAAAAGATGTTTGTAACATCATAAAAAACAGTTTAGAACTTGTAAATCTTTTCTATCCTACTCCACTCCTCTTGAGATGGGCAAAACTTGTAATTTGATTCACTCAACTGCAAATGACAAAAAGCCCGACGATAAAAAATGGCAGACTCAAACATAAGATATGTTGCATTCCATCTTGTAGGAACATCTTGCCTTAACCCTCTTTTACATTCTAAGGAAACATGAGAGACAAATTCATAGAATTTTTGTTTCCTCATTTGAGAACCTTTGACATACTTAACACTCTCACGAATCTTTATGATAGATTCATCAACCTCTTTTAACCCCTCTTGCACTATCAAATTTAAGATATGTGCACAACAACGAATGTGAAAAAACTCCCCACCACTTAATAAAGCATCATTCAAATTGAGTTGAGACTTCAACAATTCAACAAATGAACAGTTTGAAGAAGCATTGTCTGGAGTAATTGAAAATAGTTTCTTTTCAATCCCCCATTCAACTAGTAATGTATAAATCTTTTCTGTCAAAGCAACACCATTGTGTGGAGATGGCATGCAAGAGAAGTTCAAAATTCTTTTTTGTAAGCGCCAATCCACATTAATATAATGTGCAGTAAGAGATAAGTACCCATAAGTAGTCAGAGAAGACCACAAATCAGATGTCAGAGAAATCCTACCATTTGTTGATTCCAACATATGTCGAAGCCTACCCTTTTCATTTTTATACATCCTTAATATGTCAGCCTTGGCTGTGTTCCTACTTACGGGCTGAGCCTCCTCATTTAAATAATGACACATGTTTCTAATGCCCTCATATTCAACAAATTGAAATGGCAGATCATGCATAATGATAGCAGCACTCACTAACTCACAAAATCTATTAAAATCAAACTTAGAAGCACGCATAGATATAGATCCAGATGACTGAGATAAAAGCAATTGACCTATGTCCGTGTATCCCTCCTAACACACGAATCTATATGCCGCTTTAAATTACCAGTGCCATACCTGCCCTCTGCAATATACTCAGTCCCACACTTCTTACATCTGCATCTTCTCTTCTTGTCCTTGCCGGGTGGAAGTATATCATAGTGCAACCAAACTTTTGATGCGAGTTTTCTTTTGCGCTTCGTGTCTTGTTTCTTTTTCGGTTGCACTTGCACATTTGCATTTTCATTCTGATCCACTTCAAGGTCAATCAAATCAAGATCATCTTCTGATCCACTTTCATCAAGTCTCATGGCAGAATCCATCTAAATAGTAAATATTACAAAAAAAAAAAAAAAAAAAAAAAAGTTGAAGTGTGAAGACTATCAGATTAAAATGCCATCTTCTATAAATATACACGAAAGTTAATCATTTTTTAAAAATAAACAAAACTACTGGAATCTCTTTTCTCATTCTATTCTATGTACTCTTAATTATTTATTTATTTTTTTTGGGCTACAATTCTATATACAGGAGAGCTAGTGTTTGTAGTAAAGTTGATTTTCTAATTTATTAATATCGGTTGAAAAAAAATTATTAATATCAGCTAGAAGTTAAATTTAGTTATTTATCAAAGTTTGAGAAAATTAATTTATAAATATACAAAAGAACACTAGATAAGGGAAGGAAAAAAGTATCGGTTGATAAAATGGAAAAAAATCACCAAACACCAGAAGCACCGAGCGCCTATTATTTACACACTTGCACCATCATCAATGATACTGTAGAAGATAGAAGATGAATCTGCTTGCTTTAAATTCTTCCATAAGATTTGAAAACAGATAGCCAAGTGGAGATGGAGAAAGAGATATACAGTATGAGACCAGTGTGGGCATCCTCCCCAACTGGAATTTTTTTAATTTACATTATTAGTCATATGTTTTGTTAATTTTTTTAAAATTCATCAACTAAATATTGCACTTTTAACATTCTTGCCCCCACTTTTTTTTTTAATTCAAAAAATAATTGTCTCTCCTTTTCACTCTCTACCATACCCACATTTGTGATAGTCAAATATATTTCGCGCACTCTTATATTCTCACTCAATTTTGTAAAATACCCACTAAATATTATGCATTAATAGATATTTGTAGTTAAAAAAGAAAACAAAATAAATTGACTCTCTTGTTGGACACGATTAAAAGGTTAAAAAAATTTAGCTAGCACACCGACACAAGTTGAAGATGGCCTAGCACTTGCCGGACAAGTCACAAAAAATTGAATTATCATATTAGTTTTTTCATTCTAAAAATATTTTTCTCCAAAATTTTTTAAAATTGAATTATCATATTAGTTTTTTCATTCTAAAAATATTTTTCTCCAAAATTTTTTAATCTTCAATGGCGCCCCCCTCAAAAAATTTTTCGTTATATATATATTTTACATCCAAACACACCATATGATTCACATTGCAGTTGGTGTGTGATAGTGACCAGGTAACAGAGAGTGAAATTAAGAGGACGTGGCCATCCGGATACGTCTTGAAAATCCTTTGGATTACAAGTACAACACGTTACACCATATAAGCTCTGGAAACGTGTATTGTTTGAAACCAAATTCTTTAAATTTGAAATGCGATTGAATTTAAAATGAAGTTCTATTTACGCAACATCAACGAATGTGAAAAAAAAAAACAAGTATCAGTTGATAAAATTAATTTTATCTATTTTTTTCACATCATCAACGAATGTGAAAAAAAAAATAGATAAAATTTGTTTAAAAGTAGATTTGAAAGAAAAAAATTAAAGAAAACTTGTTTTCAAGTAGATCTGAAAGAGAGAAGATAAAAAAAATGGAACTCTTGTTGTTTCAAAGTAGATTTGAAAGAGAAAAGACAAAAAAATTAGAGAAAAGTAGAAAACTCACTTTGATTGTTCAAGGTTTGTGTTCTTCGCTGGTCGCTCGAAGTGTAGACTGTAGTGTTCTTGGTCGCTCGAGGTGTGGTGTGGATTTGAGAGAGAGAGAGAGAGGGAGTTGTCTGGACTGTCGATTCAAAGAGGGAGAGAGGGGAAAGAGGAGAGACCGAGAGGCGAGAGAGAGACTGAATAAGGTTTATTTTGTCTTGCTGCGTAAGTTACTAAGTTTGATAATTGATATTTTTCGTACAAACAGTATAATAAGAATAGGATTTCTTATGTAACTATGAAATGACCAAAATGTCCCCTTTTAATCAGGTCAAAACAGATAAAGGGTTAGACGGGTTCACGGGTGACACATTTAATTAAACGGGTTACACGGGTTGAGCCACACAAACCCGAACACGACACGTTTAACTAAACGGGTTATTCGTGTCAACTCATTTACGATACAAACCCGTTTATGGTAAACCCATTACCCATTTAACTCGTATCGTGTACGTGTCATGTTGGCGGGTCGTGTCGAATTTTGCCACCCCTAGCAAGGATAGATAAGATTAGGGTTAAATATTTGTTTTTAGAGTGATGCTACATTACTACTACGAGGGTGCGCTCATAAATATACTCATGAGCTCTCTTTTCTCAACCACACGATTCAATGCATTGTGGGGATTTGAGAAAATAAGCACTCAGCAACAAACGGCGCTCTGATAAAAGTTAAAAACCTCTCTCTAGAACCCCAGTCCTCTGTCCTTACAGCCCCATCCTCTTTTTAAACCACTCAAAACCCACCACCCTCTCTCTCTCTCTCTCTTTACAACCTGAAGCTCTCCACTCTCAGAACAATCCTCAAATGATATAATGGTTTTCCCACTCCATCTTCTTTTACAAGCCCAATCCCAACAGGAAACAACCCATCCACTGATTCTAGCCCTAAAAAACTAGCACAAATTCAACCATATCCGCGTTAACTCTTAACAATTTTGAAATTACCCTGAAACAGCAAAGAGTGTAGAAACCAAAAAAAAAAAAAAAAAAAGGTCCTATTAACTCAATGAAGAACATTCTGATAAAGTTTATAATAGTCTCTTGGATACTCAGATGTTGATGAAGTTATGGTAGGATTAATTGTGTTTTCAAGAACAACAAATCCAACTCGAAAAACAGAGATCATACATATCCTTCAATGAAATTCTTTGCAAAAAAAGGAAAACCATGCAGATGTCTCTGAGAAAGCTAAGATCAGGAATATTGGCTTTAGATTAATTGCGTGGTTTTACAGAGACAGAGCGATTCCCTTTCATCCATGGTTTTAGAGAAATTATTTTAGAGAGAGAAAGGGGTTGTTCGCCCTCGTTGGTTTTTATATTTTCTTATATTCATTTTACACGTTATAATGTCGTTCGTTTGCTGAGTGTGTACTTTTCCCGATCCCCAAATGCATTTGAATCGTGTGGCTGAGAAAAGAGAGCGCGCGAGTATATTTATGAGCGCGCCCTCGTAATAGCATCACTCTTGTTTTTATTCTATTTTTATTTTGGGATTTTTAAATTTATTGTTATTTTTGTTTAATCTTATTTTAGAGCATTTCTTCCTACCTCGGTGACACAGGAAATTTTAGTTCCATTACAACTCTTTAAATTTTTTCATTGGTTGTGGGATGGGGAGGAGTGGTCCTAAATGCATCTCTCTTTTCCAAACGTTTTAGTAAGATGTGATATAAAAGATATCCTCGTTAACATAAGCACATTAGTTAATTGACTTTTCTTGATGTTTGCCAGTGAGAGATGGTATATATTTGCAGGCATGTGCATATATGCCTAGCAGTTGGAAGAAAACTTTTACTTCTTAGGATTGGGGAAACTTTTGTTTTGGCGGTGTCTATAGTTCACAAACAATGATCACGTCACCTATGAATGGTCACTGTTCACAAACATACGTCACTACATTAGGTATGCAGTAATGGAATGTAGTATAGAATGAAATAGAGATGATGGAATGGACATTCTAGTTCCATCTTTCTGTTGCAGGTGTGGAACAATGCAGGAATAGAATCGTCACCATTAGTTTAAATTTTGGCTGGACTAGTTTAAATTTTGGAATGAAATTGATACATGCTTGATGCGTGTCTATTTAATTGTTTGGGTAAAACTTGACCGGTCAAACTGCCTGTCAAATTGACGGGCTTGAGTTTGAGGTTTTTGACATGTTTCGAGATGGGTCAGGTTTGAGTTGACATTCTCAGAACCTATAGCTCTTTTTTTTATTCATGTTTATTTATTTATTTATTATTATTATTAAAACATTTAATACTAATAAATTTTATTTTATTTCTATTAACAATTAACCTGTCAATTGGCATCCATACTTTCACTTCAAGGGCTGTTCTATGAAGCCATGGAAAATTGATTCCCAAATCCTGAGTTGCATGTTGTCTTCCTCCTTTTTTCTTTTTTTCCCAGTGGGTAAATCACAAACACGAACCCATTATTGTTCCATTGGGACTTGAGCCCTCGACCTTCCATTTGGAAGGGGGAAGAGACACCACTGGGGCTAAGCCCTTGGTTGCCTGTTATCTGGTTTGGAAGGAGGAAATAGGAATTTTTTTGGAAAGGGAGTTTGAACACGGTGGCTAGGTAAGAAATTTTTTTGACTCGTATTGGTGCTTGGTTAGGTGTTGTCCTGATATTTCGTGAAGTGAAAGTTTCCTTATCTGAAATGGAGATGTGATTTGGTGCATCATCAGTCAGCTTCCATTGATGAATAGTCTTGCGCATTTTTATAGATATTCAAGGAAAGAAATTTATCAGAAACCATAGCTTACATATTAAAATAATACAGTGAGAAATATTATTAATAAAATGATATATTCAGCTCGTCAGAGGTTGGGATGACAGATGCTTGGTACATGGTCAATGGGGTTGTGAAGTCATTTAATGAAAATAGTCATTGGGATGTTTTTTACCTTAATAATGAAGTGTTTATGTGGAGCACCAGGTGGTGAACTGGGAAGTAATTGTATTTTCTTAATAGAAGTTTTGGATCAATTAAGGGAAGTTTTAAATCAACAAGGATCCGGTTTCCTAATGCAATTAAGAAAGCCCACATTTAGGTGTTCCTTTTTCTTTTTCCAAGGCATGCAATTGCAAACTGGATTATTAAAACTCATCACATTAAATGGGATATGTTAATCTGGCTAGTATTGATCTACTTGTGCTACCATCATCATACTTGCCTTTTTCCCAAATGAATGGGGTCGGCCACATGGATTCTCTTTCTGCATTCTGTTCTATTATACACCCATTTTTTCTTTAAGATTTAATGTTTTAAAATCATTTTTAATTACTTCATTCCATGTTAGTTTTACTTATGCTACCATTTGTTTTAATAGTCTACTCTTTTGGTTCTGAGTCTTCTGACGTAACTTTGTATTATCTGACAATAAGTCAGTTTTGAAAAGAAAAATCAAATGGAGCCAAAAATGCAATTAGAGCCATTCTTGATTATTTTTAATGCACTTTTATCTTCTAAATGAGTGCGCATGGGGATGTGGATGCAAATCATTTTTTTGACATTTGCATGATGTGAACTATTGTGATGACCATCATGGTGATAAGACAACTTTTATTATATGTCAGCAGAAAACAATAAATAGGTATGTTTTAAGAAGCAACTCAGGCAGCCAAACTGGACCACATGCTTGACGTAGGGTGTTCATAAATTGTTTCCATAAAGGCTATTATGAGTGCCACATAGCACGCTGCAGTAGAGGCAAGGTTACAAGAAGAATGTATTAGAGGCATGGTGTTGATGTTCTTGATGTATTTATTCTTTATTAAATGGCAGCTCAGAGTAGAACCTGAAACCTATAGTATTATTAATTTATTTTCTCAACTCTATGTTATTCGTTTGGTGGGAGAGTGGGGTGGGAGGGGGTGGAGAGGACCGGAAGCAGTTCTCATAATGAATGAGGGAGAGAGAAGCATGACAGCTAATCCTAAACTTGATTCTTCTCACTTAGCCTGTAGCCATGCTGCAATGATGGGCTGGCAATGAAATACAACATATATGCTTCTGTCTCTAATTATGTTTATAAAGGCCCCCTTTTCGCCTTATTCTATTGCATATTTTTCAGTCTGTTGTGTTGAGTTTAATTGTATGATGATGTCTCAGATGGTCACAAAGTGAAGAATGGGAAATCTGTAGCCAGAGTTCTGACTTTGGATGGATGCAAATTGCCAAACCTGTAATGAAATTGTATACTGAAGCTACTGATGGTTCCTCTATTGAAACCAAGGAAAGTGCATTAGTATGGCAGTACCGAGATGCAGACACAGGCTTTGGATTCTCTCAGGCAAAAGAGATGTTAGATCATCTGGAGAGTGTTTTAGCAAATGAACCTGTTGCTGTAAAGAGTGGGCAGTTCATTGTAGAAGTGAAGCCTCAGGCATGTCTTCCATTTTAATATATATTACTTCAGCTATTGTGTTCTTTTGCTGTTTGCGGTTAGGTTTCTTCAACTGCCTAAACATGAATAGGAAAGGGATCAAATTAATGACCCTAATTTATATAGATGCAATAAACATTTAGATGAGAGTAACAAAATTCTATAGATTGATTTTCTAACATTTCCCTGGTTGTAAGCTACATGTCATGTTGCATGAACAAGTACAAGGCAGAGTTTTCACATCTAGCTCATTGATAGAATTATTGTGGAAAATCCTAAATTTTTCTAGAAATTCTGGTTCTCCTTTAACTTCAGAATATAGCATTTTCCCTCCTCGTCATCAGCTTTTTTCTACAAATGTGTAATTGAACTTAAATTATTCTCTATATTCTAACCTTATCTGGTTTTTGCGCTTTTAATATGACTTTTCTGTATCAAATAATTCCCAGATCCCAAAATTTTCACATTTTCTTTCTGATAACCGACATTGGTACTAGTGTAGATTTCGGAAATTTTCCCCCTTATATTTTATTTGTCTTTGTCTGGTTGTGTTTGCATGCATGAGTTCTAGTTATAGAAATTAATATCTCGTATGGTTTTAATTTGTCATGTTTTTATTTTGCAATCCCAATCATATCTGAAATATTTCCTCACTTTTGGCAATAGGGCGTCGGCAAAGGCTTTATTGCAGAGAAAATCTTTGCATCAATGGCTGAAAAAGGGAAACAGGCTGATTTTGTGCTTTGTATTGGAGATGACAGATCCGATGAGGACATGTTTGAAATAATTGGTGATGCCATGGCAAGAAATGTCCTTTCTGCAAATGCTTCGGTGTTTGCCTGCACAGTTGGACAAAAGCCGAGCAAAGCCAAATACTACCTGGATGACACTACTGAAGTGATTACCATGCTTGAATCTCTTGCTGAAGCCACTGATTCTCCTGCCTCCTCTGATGAAGAAAGTGATGGCTCCCATTGAAATCTAAAGTCAGGTTTACTGCTTTATATTTACCTTGGTTCCCTTCTCTGGTGGAATGTACAGTCCAGATTAGCTGATGGCACATTTTCATGTATAGGGTGGTAGGTGTCATTGGACTTGCAGTTTTCCTTTCCTTTCCCTTGTTTTTTCTTTGTTTTTCCCATCATCTCTTTATATTTTGGTCCCTTTTGTGGTAAGTGGTATATCCTAAAATTGTTAGGCATGTTTCCACCATGAGCAGATTTACAAGAAGAAAGGTCCCACGGGACTGGGGGCCAGATTTAAAGGTTCCACGGGACTGGGGGCCCACTGTTGAGTGCTCAACAGTAAGAACAGCGGTAACTTGGATTATCAGGTGAGAATGCCAAGGAGGTGTTTGCATTAGGTTTTTGATTATGGTTTTGAGTGGAATCCTTGATCGATATCAGGAATTGGAAGGCATCTCAAACTTAAGGGTTTTTTGGGCATTTCAAACATGTGTAAATTTGTAGGAAGGTTTAAATTGAATGATATCTCTCCATCAAAAGTCAAACCCGAAACTAGATGGTCAATTTTTGTTTGGAAAATGTCGGGCTCTGCTATATGGGTTCCACTTGGAGAGAAGCAGATGTGGTGATTTGTGTTCAAAGGGGAGCTTTAATACTTGTACATGTCAACATTCTTCTACTGCAATGGACAAATAAGCCAAAGTTTAGTCCATGACCCATTATTTGCTAGTGGGTGAAAGAAAGCTGGTGTGTGACCATCCTTTTTGTTGCGTAACAATAGTAATTTGGATTTGAGAAGTTCTTGTAATGACATTGAACATGCCCTATTGGGCGGTTATTTCCTGTGGAATATTACTATCCTTTGATGCAATTATTAATTTGCATTAGTCATTTTCCTCTTTTTCTTCTGATATTTCTGGTTTTATTCCTTCTTCCTATTAGTAGACGCTAGAACATATCCTCTGTTCCTCTTTTCATTTTTTTCTTTTTTTTTTCTTTTTTTTTTTTTTTTTTTGTCCCTAGGAATGGCATAAACTTCCACCCCAACGGCCCTGCCTGTCCCATTTGAGGGTGGTTTTGGGCGATCGATTATGTAAATGGGGATGGGATGGGAGCTGTTTTGGAAAAGCAGGCGAATTTTGGAGTGATTTTCGGGACAAGGTTGCAGCCCTATATATATTATAAATTTATAAAATTACCTTTACATATTATGATATATTATTAATATTATTAAAATAAGTAAAGATAATATATATACATAGGAAGAATCTGTCTTCATGTATTAGTGTTGTGAACCCCAGCGGGCCTGCCCCATCCCTTTCCGTTTGGAGGCGACTTTGGGAACCAATTATGTAAATGAGGATGGAGATGGGGGTAGTTTTGAAAAATGGCGGGTTTTGGGGCAGTTATAAGTGGATGGGGAATGCGTCCCAAACCTCACAATCCCTAACTTTACTACTCTACCCTTGTTAAAAAATTGAAATGACATTATTAATTTCATTTAAATGTATTAATTTACAATTTAAGTGTTGAATACTATATGAAAAAAATAGTAAAATAATAATTTAATGTTTTTTAATAATAGTGTTAATTTATTCACCCTTCCTATTCTCGCATTCATTAATTTTTCAATAAATTTGGTTGAGCAAGAGAATGTAACCGCAATATTGTCACGTCTCAGATTCTAAAACCCAAACTGTGATAAAAGAAATAAAATATCCCAAATTCTAAAGAATAAATGAAAGAAAATAGATTTTAAAATGCCTTTGAACGGTGACAAGCCTATTGATCTTAAATTTAAACGCCTTTGAATGGTGACAAGCCTATTGATCTTAAATTTAAACGCCTTTGAATGGTGACAAGCCTATTGATCTTAAATTTGATGTTTTGGTACGTCTCTATTATAACCTCGACTATAATCTAATATTTAGAGCCCTTGCAAACACCCAGCTTCACAACCTTGATTGAACCGCATCCCGCAAGAGTACCACGGTGCTGATAAGTTTATCGTCCTCGTCCTTGGTCCCGGCCTTTTTCAGAGTTATGAAGAACAAATATTTTCTTCCTTTTATCCAATCAGACTTGCACAAATATTTTCTTTCTTTTTCAGAGTTATGAAGCACAAATATTTCTCCAAATCAGACTTGCCATTTAAGTATAGCAAGGTCCACAAGGGGACAAAGGAGAATCATTCAAAGATGTATAGTCCCGTGTAAGTTGCAATTAGTGGTTGTTCCTAGTTACATGGTAAGTGTAAATTACAGTTTAGGATACAGTATATATTATTATACAGTCACCGGAGATGGTACTGAAGGAACCCGGTTTTCAGCTGGAATTTCGACAAATTCAGACAGGATTGCACGGAATTCATCTCCACTCATTGTTTCCTTCTCAAGGAGTACTTCCACAATCTTGTCCATTGCCTCGCGGTTGTTTCTTATGTGGTTCAATGCGATCTCATACGCGCTATCAGAAATCCTCTTGATAGCAGCATCTATGTCTTCAGCAAGCTTTTCTGACATTGAGTTCCTGGCCATCATTCTCATAATGACATCAGCGCTCTGGGCTGACGAGTCCATCAGCGACCATGGGCCAATTTCAGACATTCCAAATGTGGTAACCATCTACAATCAATCAAACCCCACAATTTCAGTGAAAATGTTAAACAAATTTAATTGATCAAAGTGAAAAACAAAACAACTAGGACCATTATGCAAAAACCATAGCTAATGAATGGATGAGAATAAGCTCTTCACAGCTAGGTTTCAGATTCGAGCGAGACTCCAAGATGCTCAAAAAAAAATTATGGAGATGAGAATAAGCTCTTCACAGCTAGGTTTCAGATTCCGGCGATACTCCAAGATGTTCAAAAAAAATTATGGTAATTTTTTTTTTTAGCTATTACTATATCGATTCCCATATTTCCCACAAATCGTGTAACTAACTCAAAACATTTAATTTTTTTTATTCTTTTTTCAATTTAGCAATGGAGATTCATTTTAATTCTTAAGTGGGCTGAAATTGAAGTTCAAATTGAAAAATCACTTGAAATTCAAGTGAGGGTCAGCGGATATTAATCATTTACCTGCTTGGCCAAACCGGTGATCTGCTGCAAATCACCGGCTGCACCTGTGGTCACCTCAGGCTCACCAAATATCACTTCCTCAGCTGCTCTTCCACCCAGTCCACCAACAATTCTTGCAAAGAGTTGCTGCTTAGATATCAAGGTTGGGTCATCTGCAGGAATGAACCATGTAAGACCTCGCGCTTGACCACGTGGTACAAGGGTGACCTTTTGAACAGGGTCATGCCCTGGAGTCAAAGTTCTGCAAGAGAAAGAAAGCATTAGGGAAATTATCCTAATGAGCATTTTTGTTATAAATTGGTTTAACAAAAAATACAGACTTAGTGATTAAGGATGATGTGATAAAATATAAATTTGGTTGATTGACACCGGTGATAGTGAAGTAGCTTCAATTCATTACAAAAAACCACATTCTTAGAATGAACTGAAATGTTGTAGAGTTGATTGAGTGAAGCCGTTCCTTCAGTATTGCGAAACGGCTTGCCTGTCTCATGGTAGGCAGTATACTTTTTGCTGTCTACTTTATAAGCTCCTTTTTGCATGCGCTCCACTGTATCTAGCGCAGGTCTTATCAGCTTATGTACCAAGAGAAGCAACCTTCAGTTTCAGTAAAGAGCCAAGCAAGAGAAGGAAACCTTCACATACTATAAAAAGGAAGATTGCTTGGATTAACCCAACAGTTCTGTTTGCTACCATAACTAACTGGAGTCTCGGTCCTCATTTCCTACACCATCTTACCACTCTTGCATCCATCTGTGATTGGTGTAAAGTCAAACAGATATTCTTTCTGCCACACCAATTGCCAAATTTAAGCTTACTAGTCCTAATTTGAAAAAAAAAAAAGAATAAGAGATTTCTTCATGATGATAACAATATTAATAGATGAGGTTGGACAATAAATGTGCATGTGTGCTGCAATATCATCAAAAACATTGCTATACATAGACATGATAATAAATTTATGATTTCTTTCTTAGTTTAACCAAGAGAAATTGCCCGACAGAAAATTGAACCTGTAAATGTATTTTTTTGTGGGTCAAATCAATGTTTTCAATATAGAACCAGCATAAGATCTATGATATGCAAGTCAGATATGATAACTTCTAAAATTCATAATGCAGAAGTCGGATATTTTCTACTTACCCACAGATGGCATGGCCGACTTCATGATATGCCACCAGACTTTTGCTCTTCCCATCAGTCATAACTGTTCCTTCCATTCCAGCCACAATCCTATCAATTGAATCATCAATCTCTTTGGATGAGATTGCTGTCTTCCCACGTCGACCAGCCAATATAGCTGCCTCATTTAAGAGGTTTGCAAGATCTGCTCCGCTAAAACCAGGTGTTCTCATGGCTATCACATCAAGAGAGACATCAGCATCAAACTTCTTGTTGCTCGCATGAACCTTTAAGATCTCAGTTCTTCCCCGTATATCTGGAACATCAACAGTTACCTGCAGCACAGCTTTGAATTAACCATTTCGGCTGCGAAGGGTAGAAAAAGTAGAAAATATTGAATGAAATAATATTACCTGTCTATCAAATCGTCCAGGTCTCAACAAGGCAGAGTCAAGAATGTCTGCCCGGTTAGTTGCTGCAATAACTATGATACCGGTGTTGCCCTCAAAACCATCCATTTCCGTCAAAAGCTGGTTGAGGGTCTGTTCCCTTTCATCATTCCCTCCTCCAATTCCAGTTCCTCTCTGCCGCCCAACGGCATCAATTTCATCAACAAATACAATGCAGGGAGCATTCTCCTTGGCCTTCTTGAAAAGATCACGAACTCGAGAGGCACCAACCCCAACAAACATCTCAACAAACTCCGAACCTGAGATGGAGAAAAACGGAACACCTGCTTCACCTGCAATCGCCTTTGCTAGCAGGGTCTTCCCAGTTCCTGGAGGACCCACGAGAAGGACTCCTTTAGGAATGCGGGCCCCAACTGCAGTGAATCTCTCAGGCTTTTTTAGAAACTCGACCACCTCCATGAAATCCTGCTTTGCTTCATCTACTCCTGCTACATCATCAAACGTAACCCCAGTGTTTGGTTCCATCTGAAACTTAGCTTTAGACTGACCAAAGGCAAGGGGGAATCCAGGACCTCCCGGACCTCCCATTCCTCCAGAGGAGCGCCTTGATAGAAGGAACAGACCCCCAATTAAAATTAGTGGGAAAGCGAGATTCCCAATCAAGTTGAATAATAGAGAACCGGAGTCCTCCTGAGCATTATGTGCAGCAAAGTCAATGTTCTTTTCCCTGAACTTCTGAAGGAGCTCCTGACTGAGTCCAGGGAGTTGCACGCGAACTCGCTGCACCCGGTTACCCAACTCTGGAGAAACAGCTTCAACAATAGCTATGGTTCCATTCTCAAATAAATCTACTTTTTTCACCCTGCCCTTGTCCAAATACTCTAAAAACCTAGAATAAGACATTCTGGAGGAAGAGACACCTTGTTCATCAGCATAAGCATTCCCACCACTGAGTAACGCAGGTACACCAACACCCACATTTCCAAGCAACAACTTAAGAAAGCCTCTTCTTCCTTCATTCCACCTTTGGTCCAGAGATGCTTTTACAAAAACTGTTTTAGATGCCTTGCCCAATGATGGAAGGCTTGAGGAAGGAAATAGATGCCTACCATAAAACTCCTTGCTCAATCTTGGTTTAGTAGTGCAGGTGGACAAACCATTTCCCAGTAGGCATGCTGATGATGCTGCCATTTATGGTATGGTGACCCAAAACAAAGCACTGGATGCCAAATATGCTTGAAAGTTAGGTTAACAAACAAAGTATATATAGAATAAAATTTTAGAATAATTTCAAATGAAAACCACTATTATCCACAACAGAATTGGCAGTTCCATAATTGTGAAGCAGAACAAGAGACAGGAAAAGCATTTGCCATGATTTGAACAAAAACCCATAAATTGTAGATATAGGAAGAGCATTTGCCATCAATATTAAATGCTTAACTTTTCGTTAGGCCTCCTTTGGATGAGAGGATTTGGGGTATAGGGAAAGAAGAGAAAAGAAAGGATAAGGAACGTTGAGTTTGGATGGAAGGATTTGAGGAGAAAAAGAAATATAGAGCAGGATTTAGAGGGATAGCTATCCTTCCAAATCCCTCATATTGTATCCCTCCAAATATGAAAAGATTTGGGGGGGAAAGAAAAGTGGGTTAGTGATACTTTCATAATATCAAAATTAACCTCCAAAATTAGAACATTGGCTTGAAGAACCACCACCAAAATTATAAATGGAAGGTGTGATAGTGTTTCGATTACTATCCTTCCTTTTATTTTCTCTTCTCTATTTTATCCAAAAAAGAATACTAACATTTTCTTTGTTTTCTTTCATATTGTTCCAAACATGAATGTAAATTATTGCCCTTTCCTTTATTTTCTCTCATAACAAATATTATATTTTCCTAGCTTTTCTCTCCTACACATCCAAACGAAACGCTCAATATACAGTTGAACAGACATTGAAAGCAATAACAGCAACAAGCACATCTTTTAGGTTATCTTTATATATATATATATATATATATATATATATATATATATAAAATTGAAAGCATCATTGAGCTCACACCCATTTCTTTCAGTATATCAACAATATGGTCATACCAATATAAAGGAACTCTAAATGCTACCAAATTAAACTGAAAACGCGACCAACCAACATCAATTATCAACTATAATTTTGCAAATCTAATTCGCACATCCTTAACAGTCAAAAGACCAAATTTTGAGTGACTATAGTGTGTTTGTGTGTGTATATATATAGAAGAACAAAAAAAAAAAAAAAAAGGTACCTTGGAATCAAATGATTCTGAAGAGTGAGATGGTAAGCTGCGTCGCAGACTCGCAGGGGATGGTGTGGTGAGGGTGAGAAGGGGCCGCACAAACAAACAGAATATAGAGGCAAGGGTTGTGGTTTGGAAACGTTTAACGTGTCCCTCTTGTAGTGGTTCTTCCCCACTTCGTTAGATTTTTCTTTAGTTTTGGCCTTTTCTATTAGTATACCAAGATTTTATAGATTGATTCTGTTTATAGCCAAATACTCAATAAATGTCCCTTTTAAAATTTTAATTGTTTTTTAAGAGAATGTGTTTTAGTGTATTTTTATAGCCAAATATTCAATAAATGCCCCTTTTTAAAAATTTAATTTTTTTTTTTATTTATAAGAAAATGTGTTTTAGTATATTTTTATTATATTGACAGGAAATGAATTATCAATATATATATATATATATATATATTTCAAATTTATTTATATAAGATGGATGTGATGATTTATTTTTCTTTATATAATGGTTAAATTGATAATGTTATAAAAATAGTAGTTTGACTTTGGGACAGCTAAAAATAAAATGGTGAACATTTATTTGGAAGGAAAGAAGAAAGAGAGATATAAATATGTAATAGAAACACACACACAGACGATGCTCTTTCATCTTTTTTTTTTTTTTTGTTTTTTAGGAGTCAGGACCAAATTATACAATTCGTATTAGAAATCAATTTTAATACTCTTATTTGCCTATGAGTGAGTGCATGGGGGGTGATCATAACCAGCTCGATCCGTCGGCCCAAAATCATCTAATTAAGCAAATGGTACAAGCTTTACCCTGATATTCATTTTTCTCTTCTTCATTGGAATTGTCTTTGTAAAAGAGTAATGTGGGTTCAGTCTCTTATTTATTTTCTTCAGTGGTAGGATAGTTAATCTCTTTCTTCTTCATCATCTTCTTTTTATTCTTCTTCTTTTTCGAGCTGGCATTGACATCGTCGTCTTGCACATTTTTGGTGGACAATCTGGCTGCTGTATAATCAACCTTGGGGACATCTCACGGTAGACTGTCCGGGCATGGGGTAATTCATGTTCTCTTGCCATATCGCGTATTAACAAGTGAACATATGTTTGTATGCACTGTACCCATTGACTCCACGCTCACTCCTATACAACTTCGAACATTATTAGGCTGCCAATTGAAGAAAATATCTTTGAAATGGACATCCATACCCATGCCAAACATTGTGCCAAAGCAATCACAAGTCGCGGTGTTCGGAGAATTCTGTTGACCACTTTTCTATTACCATTTCATAACACATATGAACATGTTATATAACTCCAAATCATCACAAAACCTTCCAAAAATCTCTTCCACTGTAACGCTATAACCACATGAACTCATATCTGCTTAACCATTTGGTTAAAGACGGTTTGATTCAACTGTCTGAACATCCTATGTCTTAAGATGCAAAGGAGAGCATACAATTCTCCAGAGTGTCCTAATGATACTTCCAATAAAAATAACCACTCTAGTTCTTTTCCATCGTCTCTGTTGTCACACCATAATTTTTACAGGAGAGTCATATATGAAAATATAGTAAGAAAATGCAGCTTAATGCAACAAGATCTCTACATTTAACTAGGGGCTTATTACCTAGTGTGTGTGTGTATATATATATTTTTACCGTCCTCTTAGAACATCCCACAATTTGATCACACTAGACACATGCAGTCTTCTCCTTTCACATGCACAATGCAATTATCGAAAAATTCTACGAGGGTGGCTTTAAAAGAAATTCAAACTTCCAACACCCAAGATGTGAAGTGAGAGCTTAACATTACTCCATTAGGCTCTCCAAATTTAATTAATAATAAGAACTACATTTTTTTTTATTTATTACAATTCAAAAAGATGTTAGAACTTGTATCAAGATCTTAGCCTGTTAAATATTACTTGAGACAAGTATCAAGATCTTAGCCTGTTAAATATTACTTGAGACAAGTCCTACAACATCTAATACAAGTAAAGAACCACATGAAATGAAACTATAGTTAAAGAGAATGTAGCCACTGAAACAAGGAATATTTGTTACTGGTTCAACGCTTCCTCTTGACCAAGAGGACCACCTGATTGCAAGACCACGGATCAGTCAAGTAAAAATAACATAATAAACATTACACTAACAGAGCATGAAAGATAATTGATTTGAAAAAATACCTAGTGCTCCAACTTTCACATGCTGATAACAAGCCATTGGTAGAAGTCTTAGCAAGGCAAGTCACTTGCTCATGGTTGAAGACAAAACAAAGTTCCAGAATATAGAACCCAAGGACATGAAAGCTACTCGAGCTTGAAGAGGAACCATCCTGTAAATATGCTATATGAGAATTGCCAAGCATGTTATTGTGAAAGCTTTCAAGTGAAAGAATGCATGACAGATGTTTTAAGAGAAGAGTGTTGGTAAAATCAATGAAAACATATGCAATTAGCAAAGTGTAACTGTTATATAGTCCATTTCATGATCCCAGATAGCCATACTCCTAAAAAGATCTTTTTCTTTTTTTCTCCTTTTTCCAGTCAACTGAAAAAGCAAGAAATTATTCCGATGCTTCCTGCCACACTTTGCTATGAATTAATGAGTAGTTGTTTGTAATTGTCAGTATTTGACAAATGAAATCCAAAGGTTATATTTAGCAATAGAATCTTTCTTTGAATTTTATAATAGTAGTTAGTAATAATGATAACAATGATCGAGTCTTAATGCATAGTACACCAAAGTTTAGAATTTTAACCTTCTGCTTTATATATCCGACAGGAAGGTACAGCCAAAACCCCTACACCCCTTCCCCAGTCAAGATGAAGGCAAGATCAATCCTCTAGAGACTTTATCAACTAACTTGCTGGCACCTTCAAGTTTGAAACATTGACTTCCTGTTATGATTTCGATACCAGGAATAAAATGCCAGTCACTTCAGGATGTGAATGTAATTGCTGGAACATTGTGGAAGAATGAAACCAACCCTCCCCCACGACCAAAGTTAGGTGTACAATGCTTTGTGCATCGTTGAATTTGAGTAGCTTGCGAAGAGGAACTTAACCATGAAAGTTAATGTCTTAATGAAACTTCTACATTCTTTTTAAATCATAACTACTGTATCAAAGAAAAGCATCTAGATATACATTATTTCCCAAAGCAAGCCACATTAACCATGAATTCATATATTTATTCTAAATTCAACTATAACCACTTGGTGAAAAATGAAACTTTTTTCTTTTCTTTTTTTAAATGAAATTCTAAGAATCCAACCTATCTGATCAAGTTCTAAGATGAGTCACTGTTTGATTGCGGTATGCAGATTGACATGTATGTTTTTATCTTTATTTTTTTTCGAACCTTTTATCAAACTATATAACAAGAGGATTGGCTTTATTACTTCAGGTCTTCAAAAGAAAGTGCTTAATTTTCCCACAACAAGGCTTATAATTACTCTGAAAGAAGAAAGAGATGTACCAAAAATTCAGTGCACTGACAGGGATCCAAAACCTGAATCCTGCAATGAAATCAAGAAAGAAATCAACTTCTATCACATGTAACTACGCATTATCAGGCAAGCACATATATTAATATAAATAGGATTTTTACCAAAAAGCAGTGTAGGAAGGGCATCTTTTTGGTACTTAGTTGGAAGCTCGGAGAGCTTCCCTTGCCATAAATTATTCCATGCAAAAACAACAGCAATTACAGATGGACCAAGAATGACTTGGTTCAATAAAACCTGCAAGGAACTGAAATTATAAGATATTGTTCTAACGGATTAGACCTTAAGATCCTTTGCTTTGAAAAAAAAAATTCCATACCTTCAGTAATAGGTTCTTTACTGTTGGCTTCGGCATGGAATGATCAAGATACTGGTACCACACATATGAACCAGGACCATAGAAAAGAAATGCATAGGAAGTCATCCGGAGAGCCCGAAGCCAATCATGGTCTGAAAGGAGGGTCCACAGAACATCCTAAGGAACGGTTTTGGTCAAAAACAAACTCAAAGCAGCCCAACGCATGACTTGAATATCGAAGATAGTTTAGCAATGAAGAATCTTAAGATCCCAACAATGCATTTAAAATATTTATCAAAGGATGGTATGCATCCCAGTTAAGCATCAAAACACTACAATAACCCAAACTTGTATGGAAGATGGTTGCAGGAGCTCATGATCAAGAGACATCTAAATTCTATTGTGTAGTATCCTTTTTCTTTTTCTCATTTATACAATCAATTACAAACAAAAGAAAACTATATATGAATAAATAAAAAAAAGACACCACAACAGAAACAGAATACAATTTTTATCAACACACTCAAAAGAAGGTTTTGTTGGGAAGAGGATTTTGTTGAGTAAAGTTAAGTAGAGTAATCTGATATAGGAGTATTGTGGTTGTCATCAATAAGTTTTATGATTTTTCAAAATCGATGAGAAGTACATGAATATTGATCCCATGTGATTGGTCACATGAATTATGAGATTTTGGGCAATGCTTATCTGGCAGACTATGGCTTAAAATTGCTTATGATTTAAGGATCTGTGAAGAAGGGAGGTGATAAATGTTTGCAGGTGGGCTAGGATTAAGTGGACAAGTTAGATGGCCATAACTTGCATACCCTATCAATAATAAGAAAAACGGTAACCAATAGGGTAACCAAAAAAATTTAAAGGCATACCAGACAAAAAATCCAAACGAAGTTAAATTTTTTTTTTTTCCCCCCCTTTTTTCAAAAGTCCAAGCAAAGGCACACCCCCCATAAAATTGCCCCTATCAGGGGTCGAACACTCAACCTCTCTTTTGGGGATGAGAAATCATATCATCTAAACTAATGCCCATTGGTAAAAGAATTGAAACTTGGAAACATTTAGATTTCCTATTTGAATTCTAAATAAGGAGTTGCATAATTTTAAAATCTTGATGATACAGCATGACAATGTTTTGCTAGTAAGAAGTTAGTCGCTCAAAGTCCCAATTTGAAAAGAAAATCACTCTCCCAAATGGACGATAAACAGAAGCAACAATATGTCGCATTTTTGACTTATGCTTAAAACCGGAGAGATGTTGGGTATCCTCTGACATGAGAAATTTTATTAGCTGGTATATGCCTCAACCATTTTTATTTACACACTTAGGAAAGCCTCTACAAGTTGTAGCCATTCTTGCTCATTGAGACAGCCAAAAAGAGTAGGATCATTTGTCAAGTTGCACCAAACATATAGTAGCCAAAAGGGGAGAATAGGAAGGCCCCAAGATTGCTAAAAAAGAAGGATTCTTTCAAACAAACCCTTATAACCGAAAAGGCTGAAAGAGCATTTAGCTACTTCCCAACATGATTGCTCAGCTTACTACAAAGATACTTTCTTTACAGAGACACGCACACATATGGTCGGGTATTTCTTGCACGTTTCTCAAGTGACAAGCTAGGAGAAACTTGCCTAATAACAAAAACAGCAGGAGCTCTGTTCCGGTTATCTATTACATTTGTACAAAAAAAAATAAAAATAAAATAAAATCACTACTATATTTATTTGGCACTGGAAAATTGTTTTTATATAATTCTATGGTGCTCAGCACTTGCAACAATAAAAAAATAAAATAAGGGCGCATTGATTAAATTTTCAAAGTTTAGCATCAGAGGATCTCAAATTGACGTTACAATCCGCAATATGAAAACATACCTTTATATATCACATGTTTTCTATATTTATATCTAATTTGTGTGTGTACTTAATTACTTCTCCATGTATCACTCTCGATGTGTGTCTACAGAGCGATCTGAAAAGTGACTGACCTTGAAGTGATCATGAGAATGAGAGAGAGTGTGTTGTTGGTGAGCTTTTGTCTTCACCCATCGCTCTCGGAGTTGAGCGATGGTGTCGCCGGTGAGGGCGAGAGAGCCCGCAGTCACGGCTTGCTTGAGGGGAAACCGGTAACCGGCTCCACCAGTTGGCTCTGCAGAGTCGTCGGAGGGTTTGGATCTCCTCCGTCCTTTTCCTTGTTCAGAACGAAATGGTCGCATTCCCCAAAACCCATCGCCGCCGCCGCCGCCTAAAGCGTCCATCTTGAAGAAAATAGAACACTTTGGTTTGGTAAAACACTTCGTTGTTCTAAATCAAAATTATTATTATTAGGGTTAAATGCAAAAATCCCCCCTAAACTATTGGGGTTTTGCAAAAAACCCCCTGAACTAAAAAAAAACTCCCTAAACTATGCTTTTGTTGCATTTTACTCCATCAGGTGACCGGAAAAGATAAAAGACAATTTCACCCTTGATATGAAAGGATGTAGTTTTGAACTTATATATATATATATATATATATATATATATATATTCCCAACCAGAGAGAACTTCCCACTTCCATGGCGGTCAGTTGCCGGCCATCACCTCCTCACCTCCCACCAACAACACCGTCTCTGGCGCTCAACGTGAAACGTACGCCACCACGCAAACCTAGTGGCACCACCCCAAACATACACCACCGTCAAACCCAATTTAACCACACACAAACCCACTACCATCACTCCAAAACATACACCGCCACCACACCGTCAAACCCAATTTAACAACACAAACCCATTGCCATCACCCCACCATCGCCGTCACTTCTGTATATAAACTCAAATAATTCAGTGTGATTTAGGGATTTAATTTTGGGATTTTGTCAAAATGAATAAGGGTTATACAGTCACGGGTTATACAGTCACGTCCAAACACCACCTTCCCTAACTAAGAATTGGAAACACCATATCAGCTTTAAAATTTGGCGACCAGGCAAATCGGCGAGACCACGGCGAATCACAAATCTACAGTCTTTCTGGCTTTTTTGTTCACCGGTCATCCAAACAACGACGGATTGGTTGAAGAAGCTCTAGCTGCGACCGAAAATCAATGCATCTCTGAACAATGCCGAGATGAGATTGCCCTCGGAGTACTCTTCGGTCATCTCCAGAACCTCTCCGGCACAGCGAAGAGGCGCGACGTTGGACAGCTAGAGATCGATCTTGACGCCGTAATAGAACTTCACGGCGGTTTCGAAAGCCTCAAAGCAGCAGAGATTGTTTGGACTCTTCTGGAGTTTGTCTCTTGCTCTGTTATCAACTCGTGAAGCTTACTACTTTTAACATCAGAGAAATTGAAATAGTAAAACAAAAACACATACTAACACATATCGCAGAAAACTCTAAAATTAGGGTTGAACCCTCTGCAATCCAGTCGGGTTGGGCCTCAGCAGGTGGGTCAAAATCCACAAGCACTGGACACAGCGATGACGACGACGAACAACGTAGGCGACGACGGCGATCCAATTGGGTTTCAATTTGAACATCAATTCGGCGACGAGACAATGCTCTCGATTTGGGTTCGATGAAACAAGCAATAGGGTCTAATTGGAACCATCAATTCAGTGACCAGTGAAAAAGAGGTGTGTCGCCGGCTGAGTTACGGTTCCGATGAGGAGTGTGAGGGTATCGACGGAGAGGAGTGGTGAGGGTTTGTTTGGATTTCAATCCCTCTGTTCTATTTCTCCGACAAATGCTTCCTCTGGATATCTTCAATTCTCCGAACAAGCACAGATACACACACACACACACACATAGAGGGAGGGAGAGAGCGGCTGCTTACGCTGCCGTAGTTGGAGCGACGAAATCTTGCAGCTGTGATTGACGAAGAAGATAAACAGTGTAATGATAAGGCTGTGTTTGGGTAATTAGGCGTAACAGTACACTAAGGCTGTGTTTGGGTGTAATGTTCATAATAAGGGGTAATACAGTCTTTTTATATTCATAAGGGCATTATGGCCATTAAGTTTATATTGTGTGATCATGTGACCGCACGTGATGGTTTTAACGGCGAAATTCAATCGGTCGGTCGCCGGATGGAGCTGTTTGCAACAAAAATTATAGTTCAGGGGGTTTTTTTGAAAATTTTGAAATTCAGGGGGGTTTGTTGCTGATTGACCAATAGTTCAGGGGGTTTTTTTGCATTTAACCCTTATTATTATTATTATTTTTGTTTGGGCAAACTACAATAACCTCCTGTGAGGTTTGACATAATTGTAACTAAATTTGAGGTTTGTCATTTTTTTTGCAAAGACACCCCATGTCAGATTTTGCTATGAACTTACTTATATATCCTCATTATTATATTCTAAAAAATAAACAAAAAAATCTGAGCATGTTAAATGACTGTATTGCCCTTTTAACTTACAACCCCACAAAGTTGCACATATCATTTCGTCTTGATCTCAGTCCCCACAAATCCACTACGTTCTCATTCACCAAGCACTTTCTTTAACAAACTAAGATCCAAGTTACAGAAGCCCTTTCTCGCAAAATCTGTTTTACGATTGTGTTGCTCGTCATCATTTTCGACAGTACTGTGTTGCTGAGGTGCGAGTGAGATCAACACTGGCCAGGTATCATAATATTCATCTTTACATTGGATGTTCATGTTCAACTTTCATCTTCATCTCCATCTTGGTTCACAAATACATTGTCTTCGATTTTAGGGTTTGTGTTGGTATTTGTTTTAGGGTTTATTTCAAAATTTTATTTACGATTTGACAAAATTGGGGTTCTGAGGTTAATAATTTTTTGGGGGTTTTTGTAGAGTTACAATTACTTGTAATATAACAACCCAAATCCATTGGATTCGGATCATTAAATGGGTTCTTACCCGACCCAAAATTTTCCAAGGGCAATATGGTCCTTTCACGTTAAATTTGTATATTAAAGTCCAACAAGGACAAGATGGTCATTTATCACAATTCTAATGGTCTGAGACTCAAAGGGCAAAATAGTCATTCCCATGGCTAAAATATAATTATTGTATTTTACTGGACCTTATAATGTGCAACAATATACATGAGTGAGTGGTCAAGGGCAAAATAGGAAAATAAGTCACAAATGTTTACTACACAGGAACCGGTCGATGTATGGGATGTCACACGTCAACTGGTTTGGGACGTGTACAGTGGAAAAGCCCACTGCGAGGATACCAGTCGACGCATGGAAGGCTACACGTTAACTGGTTCAATACTTGTACAGTGGATATGCTCACTGCCATGATACCGGTCGACGTGTGGGAAATTCACGTCGACTGGTTTAGGTCATCCGGTCGACGTGTGGGATTTTACGTCAACTAGTTTGGGTTATCCACACTCAATTACTCACTGTCCAAAGAAAACCAAAAATATATAACATTTGATAACCAACCACCCACGCCACTACACTTACGTGCATATTTAAATACATTTTAACATCTATTACATTAACAACAATTAACATAATTTACAACATGTTACATAAAATACACTAAATAATTTAGTGTAATTAAACATAATTACATTTCTCCAATGGCCGTACACAAAATGGACCTAAATACATCACATGCTAGAAAATAATACATTTGAAGTCATCAGTTTTACAAAGTTAGGCCCAATTACAAAAGAAAGCAAAAAAAAAACATTTTTCTACTCCAAGCTAAGGCAAGGGTGAATTGTCGTCCGTTATTTTTTTTCCGTGTTCTGAAAAAATAGTAATAAGTAGAGAAGTGAGCGCAAGGCTCAGTAGAGAATGCCTAAGTGGCATCTCCTCAAACGAAGTAAATAATCCAATGTTTTACACACAATGAATAGGAAAAAGGAGTGGGGTCATGCGAGGGATTTCACATATGGTACTTAAATTTCCAATCAATCCTCATCACTATCTCATATAATGCAATGCATAGATGTCAATGTAAACTACATCACACCATACCCTCTCTTGTTCACACCTCTCCTCTAAACCATCATGTACCCACATTTCCCTTTCCCGCTACCACACATCTACACATCTCATCTACACCCTCATCTCTTTCATGCCCATCAATGCCCTCATGCCATGCATATGGAACATTTTAAATTTTCAATCATTTAATCATCAACCTTTATTCATTACATAATACACATTCATGATCACAATAATTTAATTTAACAACTTAGCATGCTTTAACATACACCACATCAACTATACTAGGAGTAACACATATAATTCACCACTTAGTCATCTTTTAGCATGTCATTAGAAATTCATATACAAAATAAGCATTTAATTCCATCAAACCCATCAATTTTACAAAAGTCAAACATGAACCAAACCCTAGAATTTTCATTCTTCAATTAACATCAAATTAACATGCCAAAAGAGGGGGAAAACATCAAATTAACTACTAAATCCAAGGAAAATCGTCAATTAGACAACTCTACCTCTTTGAAGAGAAACCCCCAAATTCGAGATTCCTAGCTTCTTATGTAATACCCCTAATTTTCAAAAGGATAAAATGGGAATTTAATTTGGATTTTTATAGCGTTTTTATTTATTTGTGTGACTTATGTGGTTTATTTGTTTAGTTGATTTAGTGTGAATTTATTTTAAATTAATTGGTTCATTGTAAGTATTTAATTTGTTTTATTTAATTAGTTAATTGAAGTTATTTATTGGTTTTAGTTAATTGTTTAATTGTGCTTAAATTTCCTTATTGGATTTATTGGTGTTAAATGACGTATTTTATTTGATAGTTTGTTTGATTTAATTGTGCTATTTACATAAGTGCTGAGGTGGATTAGTTTATTAAATTGTGTGTGTCGTGTATATTAGGGTTTTATTCTTTATGTAATTTAGGGTCGCAGACTTATGATTTAAAGGGTTTTAGAATTAGGGTTTAGTGGAAGCTATTATATATATACTGTATAATCCAACTTAGGGTTTAGCCGTATATATATATATGCTTGGTTTATGTCAGTTAGGGTTGAAAACCCTATTCACGTAGTAATTCTTGTGAGGAAAGCACAGAGGGAAGCTTGAGAGGAAAACAGAGAGGGTCTTGAGAGATAACCCGTGAGGCTAAAGGAGAAATAAGGGGTTGCTTCTGGATGGAACTAAAAGCAACGGAGGGGTTGAACGACAGTTGGGAATCTGTCAAAAAACGCAGAGTCGATGGTTTAGGTTTCAAAGTTGAAACCGAAGGTAAGTTTCATTCTATCTCCTTCCTGTAAACTCGTGTTCTGTACATTCTTTATAGTCTCCAGAAATTAAATTCAACTTTTAAAACT